TTTTTCCTGAGTTCAACAATATATCAGATTGGCAGTTAAAACGTCATTTTTGTTCAACGTTTAGGAACTTTTTTTAATTAGGTTAAATTATATAAATCCTCTTAAACATACCCCTAAGTTTTCAAAAGTTTCATTTTTGCCCTTTAAGCTTTAGATTTGTTTTAAAATTGCTCTTTCGTCCATTTTTTTTTTTAAACGGAGACAGAAAAGTGGCATGGCGACGCGACTGGTAGAATAGTGATACACGTGGCATAAGTGGTAAGTTTCAATTGTGCCCCTAAACTTAAGTTTCAATTATTCCTTTATCGTTTCAAAAGTTTCATTTTGACCTTTAACCTTTGAAATTATTAAAAAAAAAACCTCATTAGCTTCCCAATTGAAATGAAGACGAAAATATAATATAGCGATTAGTCGAAAAATAAATGTTACACGTGGACATACTTTAGTGGTGAGAATAAAAGAGTTGAAGGATTTTAATCACATTTAGAATTAGGAAGAAGTATATTTAGGGGATAGAGTTGAAATTGAAATGATGAGAGAACCCACGTATTGTGATAAATTTTATGCATTAGTAAAAATCACAACCTCTTTGATTCAAACAGTCGAGAGAGAAAGTTCTATAATTCATGAGAGGAGGATGTTTATGAGAGAAATTTTTGGAGAAGAGTTCAGGTGATTGAAAGCGTAGGACTATGGAAACTAGGAGAGTAACAAAGACAATTTTCATAACAAATTTTTCAAGAAACTATGGTCTTTAGGTGCGACTGTCTTGGATTTCTTTGATTGTCTCTTTCCTCTTCTTCGTTCATACTCTAACATTAATTTTTGTCAATTGATCATGAGAGAGACTCTAAATTTTGTTTGTCCTCCATTGTTTACTTATCCCTGAAAAATTTTTATTCCTCTCCATATCTTTTGATCGTAAGAGGAGGAAACGGTATTTTACTATAATCCCCAAGTTTTTTCTTTTGCCCCCTAATGAAATAATGTCATTTCTAATGTGACTAAGACTCTTTGACTTTTTTCTACACTACACCACGATGTCATATTTCATCTTTATTTTAAGTGGTGAAACTAATGAAATTGTTGTTTTGAAATAATTTTCATGGTTAACGGTTAAAATAAAAGTTTTTAAATAATAAGGATATAGTTGAAATATATCCTACGTTTGGGGCATAAATGAAACCTATATAATCTTTATCATGTGTATCAATATTTTACAAGTCATAGTCACATCACTTTTTCGTTTTCATTTTAATGAAAAAGTTGTCGAAATGGTAGTTTTGAAACAAGTTTAAAGTTTAAGGTAAAAATGAAACTTTTAAAGATTTAAGAGTATTAGTCTAACAAAACTTACCCCAAAATTTAAGTGCATCGTGTATAATTAACCTTTTAATTATTGTTAAAATATATTGATCTTGAAAGATAATTTTTAAATACTACAATATATTTATTTGTGGTAGCGAAATCGTGTGTACGATCCATCTTGAGTTTTTTTGGCTAAATATACCCCAGGATCATTGATCACTAGTTTTTAAGTTTTTTTCTCAATTTTGTCCTAAATTTTATAAAATTCTCAATTGGATCCTTTGAAGAAAAAAATAATAATAATAATGTTAACATAAAAGTTAATGTGTCAATAAATTATTATTTTATTAACATATATATATGCTATTAGAAAGTATTCTAATACGCACCCAATAATTATAAGACACATATTTGATATGAAATTAATAGGATAAAGAAGGATTCTCATATGTATAATAGGCATCTTTGAGTACTTAGAAGCAAGATGAGGTAGATCCCATTATAATCTTCTTAATTATAATACAACCTGCTTGAAGACGAGACGTCTTAAGATTTGGGATTTGGGCAAACCAGTATAATCTCTTGTGGAGTTAAGTTTTCTATCCATATCTCTTCTTCTTTAATTAGATTTAACACGTGGGAAAATCAAATAGGTTCAATTTGTAGAAATTATCGGAGGATTAATTTGTTTATATTTTTTTTTTCCAAGAACTAATATCATAGCATTTGATTTAAAGGGTCATGAGATCTGTCTAGAAGTAAAGTTTTGAAGGATTCGTGAACTTCTAGGACTAATTTTAGATTTTGGAAGATTGCAGATTTTGAATAAAGTTTCAAACGAACGACCAGGATAAAGATTAGGAAGAGATGGACACAGCTGCTATTGTGTGTTTGTCAATGAAATCCATTTTTAAAATCATACCCCTCCAAACAACTCAATTTTTTTAAACATACACCTTAAAAAAATCTCGATTCTTTAAAGCTTATATTCTCGTAAATTCTTTATTTTACATCCTTTAGCTCTCCTACCCTCTGTTTTGTTCGGAAAAAGAAAAGAATTTGAAACTTGAACCGATTTGAAATCACATTCTAGGTCGAAAAAAATTTCATTTCAAATAGGTCAGATTTGGCAAGATTTAAAATAAAAAACTTAACTATATATTTGTTTGGATCACCATTCAAGAGCCTAATAGTAGCCTAATAGTAAAATGTTATACGTTTTTTCATATCTCATGAACATCCAAATAATAAAATGCGAAATCCGTTTAGTTCCATAATGGAATTAGGCAATTGAGTTCATTTCAATCTTCAAAACATTAGAGCAGACAACTTCTTGTTACTTAGTTATTAGGCTTTTACCGTGGCTGTTGCTGCTGGCCTCTTATAAATATAAGCTGTCATATTCATTTAGTTTGATCTCTCAGTGAAATTAATAAAATCTCTCTGATTGAATACATCATATTTGGATGGTGGAAATTTTTCAGGTGAAGATAGATATTTTAACCAGTTAAACTATGTTCCAACTGGCAAATATATTAGAGGAATTTAGTCGTAAAGAACTATTCAGAATCGGGACAAACATTTGAAGTGATTTCTGGGAGAGTTTTTAGTTTCATGGAAGTCATGGAAGCATCGGCTTTTTCAACCCTGATGTCAACCTTAATTTTCAGAAACTCTTTCTCCATCTTATTTAAAATAAGAATAGAAATAACTGCGGTAATTGACATGTATTTATTTCCTCGAAGTCGAAGGTTCAATCTCCCTGTCACCAAATTGTTGTACCCAAAAAACAACAGAAATGGTTTACAAGAAAAAACAACAGAAATGGTTTACAAAGGGGTGGAGGACCACCAAAACGGCGACGTTCTATTAACCTGAGAAAACTGAATAAATAGGAGTACAAACGACGTCGCATTGTGTGCAGAATCCACTAAGAAGAACGGCGTCGTATTGTTGGTGCTGGTGTTGAAAATTCTTTAATGGAACCACGTCCTCTGCTGTGCACATTCTCTAACAGGGGTAAGATTACAAAATAGTACCAGCCTTCGCTTTACTTTCCACTCTCACCATCCATTCACAGAGGATAGAATTCACTTCTTCTGGCAGCTCATCATGTGGGCAATGCCCTGAAATTTTGACAACATAAAGAAACTAAAGTTAGAACAACAACATTTTAAAGGAAACCGAACAGCTAATTTCTCATCTTACCAGCATCCAATTCCTTGATTATAACTCCACCACAGTGCTCTTTAAGCATGCCCAACATAGACTTGGAGTTGTAGATAGGATCTTTCATTCCCTACATAATTGCATTACAAACCTTTTAACCTGAGATTTCCTTCTCCTTTGGGACTAAATAGTATTTCTTTAATCTTTTGGTTATTTTGCAATTTCGTCCCTCATCTTTTACAAGTTTAATCAAGCTCTTACCATCACAAAATGTTAAAACGTCACTGTCAAAATAATGAACATATTATTCGTTGAGCTGAGGATACTCTAAGTTTTGAATAGATGAAATAGACATGCACACCAATAAGATTCAAAAACTTACATGCTTCATATTAACTAGTACATTCTAACATTTAGTGATGGTAAAGAACTTGATTGAATACAATTCGAAACATGAAGGATGAAATTGAAAAGTTTAAAAAGATTAGGAGGGAAATTGAAAAATTGCACAAATATGAGGGACTAAACCATTCTTTTACCTGGATGATAAGAACCCTTTCCTCGAACCCTTCCAACAAATAATTGAGGGGAACTGAAAGATCAAAGCTGAAAATACTTTCTAGAACCACCAGGCCGCCAGGATCTTTGGACTTTTTTTTTAATCATACGTTAAGGTGGCAAAAGTTACACAATATGTAATGAAAAATGAAGCTGATTTGTAGACATAATAACAAAAGCTTGCACAAGAGGATACAGCTCTTAGCATCTCACTGATAAGCCAGTTATCAGATCGCTCTGTTCTCTGAAAAGCAAAAAAATGTCGTAAACTTTTAAGTTCTATATAAATATAAAATACAAGGCAATAGTAAAAAATTGGGACATTAGTTGACGTACAGTAGGATAGCAATTCCTCACTATGTCCTTTGTTTTCAGTCTTAAGTAAAATAAAAGGAGTCTAGCGCCCAACCGTGCAGCAACAGAAACCTGTCTCTCCTGCATTCAAATTACAATATGGGACAGTTGAGATATTATTGATAGATTATTCAAGAAAATAATATATATGAGAAATTGTAATGTGACAAATAGTTTTGGTATATTTGCAAATATACTGCAAAGAATAAGATTTTACAAATATAGCAATTTTGTAGGGCAGAGTGGCTAGGGGTTGAAATATGTTGGAAGTTTTTGAAAATTGTGTCATATTTAAAATATGTTAGACCTTTTCGAAAATTGTGTCATATTTACAAATCTTTTAACTTGCGCTAGATTTGCTATTATTTTAAGCCAAATCAATAAGGTTAAATTTACATTTTGGTCCTTGAACTTTTAGATTGATTTTATTTCCATCTTTGTTAAAAAGGCTTATTTTAGCTCCAAGTTTTAAGAAATAAACAATTTGGTTATTGTCATGGCGTGCTAATATGCTAATAAAGGCACGTATTAAAAGTTGGAGGATGTTGGTTCTATCCCAGAAAAGAAGGGGGAAAATGAGAGATCAGTAGCTGGGGTGATGGCAAGAAATTGGGCCGAGACTTTCTAAAGCATAATTTGTGATATAGTCAGAAGAAAAATAAGCAATAGGGGTCCAATTTATGTCTTAAAATCTATTCCCGTCCAATACCCACTTCAGCCAGCCTATGTAGCCTCGATATATACTCATGTTAGCACGATATTTGAAGTCACATCATTTGTTAAGATAATCATAGCAAAACTGAAAATTAAACAATATTCACAAAACTTACCTTATTGAAGGGCAAAAAAGAATATCCAGGAATTACACTGCCAGCACTATTGATGAGGACAATGGATTTGACTAAGGAAGGCCAAAGACAGGAGACGATAGCGACAATGTAACCTGAAAAGAAAGCAAGCAAGCTTCCTTGAAAGTGTTATACGAAGGAAGTTTTGAGAGTTTATACAAATAAACTCAGGTTTGTACATACCACCAATTGAATTCCCAACAAGATGTACTGGTCTACCCACAACTTCGATGATAAAATCTCTAAGAAATTCGGCCCACAATAGTTCGGTATACACTATGTTTGGCTTTTCTGAACGCCCAAACCCCAAAAGTGTTATAGCCCAAACTTGATTTCCACCTTCAGCAATGCCATGTACGTTGTGACGGAAATGCTCCAAAAAAGCACCAAAACCATGCACAAGAAGAATGGCAGGGCCTTCACATCCAACAACTGTGTACTGGAAAGGGATCTTTATTAAGGTAAAGTAGCATTACGCATCTATGACCAAAATTTTGTATACTAATTGAACAGCATGAAGTCTCAATAATTGAAGAATAACATAGATTCTCGAGCAATGAAAAATAAAAGGTAAAAAAAGACAGCATCTTCATCAGCTTTTATCATTTTTCCCATTTATTGAACCACATAGTTAATATTTGCTAACCTGAACAAGAAAGCCATTCCATCTCCAATTTCGAATAGAATGACTTCCCGTACACCTTCCTTTGCTCTTCAAACCCATAAGCCAATACCACTGTGTTATGAAAATCAAATGAGAACCTAAAGATGCTTTTAATTAAATTTTTAAAAACTTCATGTAGTTAGACCAACTTAACTTCTAAACCCAACCAAACATATGTACATTTCGAAATTTTAAATTAAATGACATACCTCTGAGGAGAGAACAGCATCAACTACTGCAGCAACAGTGCCTGCAGAGTATCCAAAAGGTGACAGAAACCCAGCATTTCTTTCCTTTTCATATTTGATCGCTTCATAATGCACTCTCCTTCTAGATATTATTCCCAGATCAATAGCAGGACCAAAAAGTTTAATAAATGAAGATCCATCTCGGCTTTCAGAATTGCGTACCATTTCATGTAGTCTGTACAAAACATAGACCTCAATGGGCAATCTAATGGATAGTTGAAATTAATATAAATGCTTCAAGCTATTCATTTTCATCATAAAATGCAAATGATAATAGAACAACAATATGAACGCTTTGTGCTTTTATTCTCAGTGATGAATAAGCTTTGCAAATTTACAGATTAATTTGAAAAGCTAAAAAGGGTATGGAAAAATACATCACAAGATCATTAGAATAAAATAGTTAAACAAAAATTAATACAATAAGATGAGAAACTCCATTTTTGTTATAATGGAATGATGAGGCAACAAACAAATATCGTATGAAAAATGAAACGAGTAAGATGTTGCAAATCCTTTAGCACATAAGTAACAATGTGACCATGAATTCTCTCTATCCTTTTTTTTCAACCTTGTTTCCTAGGACTAGGGAATAGGAGGAAGAGAAGAAAAAACACCTACATTTGCCAGTCATCTCGAGCCGTTCCCTCATTGTATCTTATGTATGCAGATAAAGCATTCAACACACCTTCCGCACCTCCCCTCTGGAAATCCATTCCTCGTTGTATGGAAAAAATTGATTTGTACATTCTCTCTGACCTGGTACTTCTCGAACTCAGACTGTTTCCATTACTTCCTTCTTTAAAAAATTTAGCCCGCAAAATAGCTTCGGCTGCTGTATTCTTCATCAAATTCCAATCTTCTCTTGATTTGTACAATTGATTACTATTTATAAATTCCTTCAAGGCATCAAATGCGGGCATAGTACCTAATGATTTCACCCAACTTATCACACAAGCGAAAAATTATTTATCATGGCTGCCACAATATGGATGCCACTCTCCTTCTCCAAAGGAAAATTTTCATGCAAAGAACGTACCCCAGTTCAATTCCAGTTTCGAGCAGGGTAACGTTGGAGAAGAAAGTGGAGGACTTACAGGAAGTTGAAGCTTCCTAAACTCGTCGTACGATGCAGGTAAGGCCTCTAAGCTCTGGAACACAACAGTATACAAAAATGAATAAGTTAAAACAGCAAACAGAAGGAGAGGATTATAATAGTAAGAGACAGACCTTAACATCGTAAAATGGCGTCCTCGAAATTGTGAGATTTGGACTCTCAGTCAGATTTGCCAAGGCCTGAGATACATTATCCATCAACACACATAACTCATGCTCTACCTCTTCCTCAGCAAAGATATGGGTAGCTTTTACCTGTTCAAAACCTTGGAGTTGATTAAAAAAGAATCACGAATGCTTCTTGAAATTCTCCTTAAGGCCTAATTGTAACTATGAAACCTAGAAAAATCGTCACCTCGATTACAAGCTCCCGGAGTACAGATTCCGCATCCCCAAACCTGATCAGCAAATCCAAACCCCGATCCCTCAGCGACCGCCTGAGGGCTTCCAAAGCAAGAAGAAGAAATTCAAGCATTTCATTGGAAAACCCTGCATGTCCATTCAACCTCATTCATCTAATGGCACAAAACAGAGCAAACCAAGCCTACTTGGATTGCGCTCAAGTAGGCAAAATCGAGAACGATTAACAGTTCTTTACACATTGTGATTAAACCCATAGACAAAATAGAGAGAGAGAGAGAGAGAGAGAGAGAGAGAGAGGTAACGCGAAAGTATGCGGGAATCGAAGATGTAAAGAGGGAGGAGAGCGGGAAAGTGAGAGGCGGCATGGAGAGCAGGGTGATCGTCGATTCGGAGGTCATGCTTAAACCAGAGAACCGCGACTCCTCCGATTTCGGAATGTGCAGTGGATCGGTGTCTGGGGAGTGCAGGTCGAGGAGGCGGAGGCGATGAAGAACACCGGCGTGGAGGAGTAGGGAAGGGGATGGGATTTGTGGTGAAGCGAATGGAAGCAGAATGGGGGAAGTTGAAGATAAACATGGAGATGGAGAATCGGCATTGGAGAATGGGGACGAAGGAAGAACATGGGTTTGGGTTACAGAATTCAGAGTGTTTTGTGGTGGTGGGAAGCTGGCGGGATTTTTCAGTTGAAAGTTGTGGCGCTGCTACCCCCACACATCTTCTACAACTGTTTTTTCTTTTTCCCTTTTTTTTAAAGAAACATTTCAGTTTTTTTTTTCTTTTTTTTTTTGGAATGATTGAGAAGATTCAAACTCACCACCTCTTAGTTTGAGTTATAGGTCAATTATCGTCGTTGCAGTGTTTTTTCAATTTGATCTCTATTTTTTTTGTTAAAATAATATTTCGATGCTTGTAGTTTCAGCTCGATTCATTTTAACAACCGTTTTAATGTGGTGACGATGGCACAAATTTTACAATAACATGGGTCAAAAATATACACAAAGAAGATTAACATCAAAATTTTCAGAGATTTTTTTTTTTTTTTAATATAAAGGATTGAACTCACGACCTTTTGAGATATATGTCAATTATCGCGGAACTATACTCATATTGGTAATGTCGAAGAACTGAAACATCTTTGGATTATTAAAACTGTTTTACATAAGAGACTTATATTGGGCTTAGAGACTAAATTGTAGCACCAAATCCAACAAACCTACCACTGCGTCCTGTTTATTATCCGCATTATTTATGAAAATTTATGTAAACTTGAGAACCAGAATATTTTGAAAGATTCAGCAATATTGTCTTTAATACCGGCATATGAACTCAGTTCGATGACTTGAAAGTAACTTGCTCACGATTCTCGAAGTTGCTCTTGTGCAATATTAATGGCAATGTCTTTGATTTTGACGTTAGATGTGTTCTGTTCATCACTGGCAATACTATGGCTTCCGATGCTGTGCACGATCTGAATTCCCTGATTTCCTCCGAGGGGAGAGACTTTCTCATCCGCAACAATGGCGATCAGGTATATTTCTTTTCTTCTCAATTGAAAAATTGGTGGGGAAGGAACGGCCTTCTTTTCTCCTTTTCTCTATTTCCCCTTCAAATGTTGTTTGTGTGTGGAAATGTTTCTTCTCAGCTGTTGTTTTCTTGTCGGATTGCTGAATAATTGACAAACCCTAGAAAAATTTGGGAATCTGTAAGAGGAAGTGAGTGAAATCCCCTTTTGGGGCTTTAATTTGTGCTTCCTACAGGTGAAGATCAGCTCCTTAATTGGAAAGATTGTGGGATTGTATTTCTCGGCATCATGGTGCTCTCCCTGTCGCAGTTTCACTCCAGTTTTTGCAGGGGTTTATGAGGAATTAGCGTCTAAGTGTGATTTTGAAGTTGTCTTTGTTTCTGATGACAACGATGAAGAATCTTTCAAGGATTACTTCTCTAAAATGCCCTGGTTGTCTATTCCATTTAGTCATTTAGAGACCAAAGAATGCTTGAATGAAATTTTCAGAGTGAGTGGAATTCCTCATCTTGTTGTTCTTGACGCCAATGGGAAGGTTTCAACTGATGAAGGAGTGGAACTAGTCCGCGAGCATGGGGTTCATGCCTATCCTTTTACTGCTCAACACATCAAACTTCTGAAGGACAAAGAGGACGAAGCTAAAAGGAACCAAACCATTAGTTCCATTTTGGTTTCGAACACGCGCAGTTATGTGATCTCAAATGATGGAAATCAGGTATAATTTCTTCAATGGTTTATGGGATTATTCGTTTTATAGTCATGGGAATAATGTGATACTAAAAGGATTGTGTTGTAGATTCCTGTCTCTGAGCTTGAAGGGAAACTGATTGGGCTGTACTTCTCAGTGTATGGCCACAAATGGTGTGATGAACTTACGCCTACTTTGGTTGAGGCTTACAAGAAACTAAACGAGAAGGGAGAGAACTTTGAGATTGTGTTGATCTCTCTAGATGATGAAGATGAAGGCTTCAATGAAACATTCAAAACAATGCCATGGTTGGCATTGCCATTGAAGGACGAGAAATGTAAAAAACTCGTTCGTTATTTTGAGCTTAGTGATATTCCTACACTTGTTATAATTGGGCAGGACGGGAAGACTTTGAATGCGAATGCAGCAGAACTCGTCGAAGAGCATGGTATTGATGCCTACCCTTTCACTCTAGAGAAACTTGAGAAGCTTGCCGAGATTCAGAAGGCGAAGCTCGAATCACAGACTCTGGAGTCTCTTTTAGTTTCTGGGGAAACAGATTTTGTTATAGGAAAAAATGGTGCAAAGGTAAAAGTTTATTGTTGCTGCTTCGTATCATAATCTTTGAGTTAAACCACGTGGTGCTTTGTGTATTCATATATGTTTGATTGCCTTTGGTTTGGGCAGGTCCCGGTATCTGAACTTGTTGGCAAGAACATTCTGCTGTATTTTTCTGCACATTGGTGTCCTTCATGCCGTGCATTCTTACCCAAGCTTACGGAGACGTACAACGAAATTAAGCGAAAGGGCAAAGAATTTGAAGTCATCTTCATTTCAAGTGATAGTGACCAAAATTCATTTGAGGAATTCTTTTCAGGAATGCCTTGGTTAGCCCTGCCATTTGAGGATGAGAGGAAGAAGTTCTTAAGTCGTAGATTCAAAATCCAAAGGATTCCCGCCCTCATAGCCCTTAACCAGAGTGGTCGTACCGTCTCAACAGATGCCCTTAAGCTCATAAGAGTTCATGGAGCAGACGCCTTTCCATTCACAAAGGAGCGTGTGAAGCAGTTAGAGGAGCAACTGGAAGAAAAGGCAAAGGGGTGGCCTGAGAAACTGAAGCACAAACTACATGAAGAACACAAACTTGTTCGGACTCGTCGGGCTTATATTTGTGATGCGTGTGACGAGATGGGATATAGTTGGTCATTTTACTGTCAAGAGTGTGACTTTGATTTGCACCCGAAATGTGCTTTTGAAAACGGAGGAGCCGAGGAGGAAAGGGAATGTCAGGTTTGCGACGGAGACGTGTGCCGTAAAGCCTAAGAAAACACGTTCAAAATAGCAGAGGACGTGAAAGATTATTATGGTATGTTCTTTGTTTGTTGCCTTCTATGATGCTAATTGCTATGGTGTGTGCTGTATACTCTACTGCATCTATGTTGTTCCAAATCATCTGCTTTGTAATAAGATTTGTGGTTCCCTGATCGTCCTTGTTTGCAAGGAAGGGATATTCCGACCTAAATTTGGAGGCATCAATGAGTGTTATTCTAACCTTCGTGACATGATTCTATCGTGGCAAATTATTTTCCATGTCCCTCACTTATTTCTTTTCTATATAGCAATAACAGTAATGGTAGTGATAGCGATAGAGAATAAAGATGACAATAATCATTAGCAAAATCAATAATGATAGCTTATATTAACAACCTACTTCCCAATTTAATTTCATCAATTTCAAAATCATTAGCAGTAGCGATAACGATAATGGTCGCAATAGCGTACAATTGGTAACGGTAGCACTAGCAATAATAATGATAATAGTAGCATAATCGATAGCAATAGCTTATAACTTTCCAGATTTTTTCTTCATTCTTATTTTTCTCTTTCAGTTTTTTTTAATTATTATTATTTATTTCTCTATAAGTTTTATCTCTATCTTTACATTTATCTCTACAGCTATCTATATCTATACTTGTATCTCTACATCTACTTATGCCTATATCTTTTTTTTTTCTTTTAACTTTTTTTCCAGCTCGAGATAGGAGATAGAGATACGGGTCAAGGTAAAGGTAGAGATATAAGAAAATAATAATAATAATTAAGAAAACGAAATGTGAGAGAAAAGCGAAAAGTGGGTAGTTTGAATTGGGAAAAAAATAAATTTTGATTTTAAGATCAAAGGAAAAAAAAATTAAAGTGGAGAAATAAAATGAAATAAAATTGACAGCGCAAAAATTATGTTATTACTGATAGAAATTTGGGAGACTCGAGTTAGAAAAATTTGAATTCAATAAGAAAAAAAAGGAAATAGTTAATAAATAAAAATGGAATAAAATTCACCCAGCAAAAATAGCCATATAATTTGAAGAAACGAAAAGGAAAAAAAAAACAATAAAGAAATAGTTCAGATAAAAATTGGCAAAATGTAATTTCACATATGACTACCGAAGCAAAAGGTTAGAATAAAAAGTTTAAAAAATGGGAATATCTCATCAACGAGATCAATATTAGATCATCTAGTGCAATTTTGTCAAAATATTTTTTTTAGAGTATCAAATATATTAATTATGATAAATTCTTTAAATAATATATTTTCTATCACATATATTAAAATTTTATATTATTTGGATCTTATTCAAATAAATATTTTATTAGTATATGTTATATATTAATAAAATACAATTTTCCTTCAAATGATACTTAATTAGAAAATGATATTTAGCCAAACAAAATTTTTTATTATCTTATATATTATTTGAATCTTATTCAAATTAAATATTTTTAATAGTATATCTTATATATTAATAAAATACAATTTTCGTTCAAATGTATCAAATACCTTAATTAGGACATGATATTTAGGTAAATAAAAAATGTTAATATCTCATATATTAAAATTTTATATTATTTGAATCTTATTCAAATAATTATTTTCTTAATATATATTTATATATTAATAAAATATAATTTTTTTTCCATGAGAAAAATCTCATTTGAAATAGTTGATGTGTTGCTTGCTTGTCATTCGTCTTTAACACTTCATTCACTGTTGGCCCAAAGTTAGACATGACACCCTATCACTAAAGCCTCATATTCTTCATTGTTATTAGAGTCTGTTGATAGAGCTAGGCGGGGGGGCGATACCGATACTAGTTATCATGTCAAAAGACACATGAAGAAACCTAATTCATTGAGTTTTCATTGAATAAATCTAGCCCAAACCAAGTTTTAATCTTTTTGCGTTGAACACCTATAGTGCACACTGCACAGAGAGATTCATGGACCAGAAGTTGCTAGCAGAAATGATACCTTCAATTTCTTTTACGAAAGAAAAAAACACACACGACCCATAAATATTTACAAATCCGTTATTTAAAAAAATACAAATCTAATCTTTTTTAAAATCACACTAATTAATATTATTTTCTTACAAATTAGCAACCATTCACATTTTCGTTAAAAAATTGAACCTCCTACCATTGATTTTGTGAAATTGAGTTCAATACATTTAATGAATTTGAGGCTAGAGAAGTAGAACTTACGATTAAGATATCGAGGTGCCTAAATAGAAAGGACACAATTCGATACACAATAGGTATTGTAGAATCCAAAGACCTAATATATTCTCCATGTACAAATATTGAGAGTTATATTAGCCTACATTCAAGTGATGTTCATATCATGGGACAGCCACGACCCAAGTACGTACAAAGGTCAAGAGTCGACATCCATAGATGTTAACAAGAAGTATTAGACTACTGAAGACTGTCAATTGAGCTAGGTTCATGTCGGCTTTATATTTGGACTACCATTCACCAAAACATAAAAGCAGAATGCATGCAGATCAGGGAAATAATATTTTAACTTCTCATCTAAGTAACAATTCCAAAGTAACCAAAGAGATGACAGTAGACAAAAATTTTTCCTCCCCAAATAAGTTCTAAACTTCAAAATTATGACAAAAATGGACAACACATTAACCTTGACAATTTGAAAGTGATACGGGGCAGGCACACAGAGTACATAGAACTCTAAATAACTAAGAGTAAATTAAAGAACTTAAGAAATATGGAACACATATCAATCTGCAATTGTGACTTCAACCTCAACACCTGGTTCAATGGTGATAGATGTAATCTGCTTAACAACATCAGCTGAGCTAAAGAGGTCGATGACCCGCTTGTGGACACGAAGTTCAAATCTGTCCCATGTGTTGGTACCTGCAACAATAGTAAAAGATTTGCAACCAGTTTTCAGGCTGGATCTAAAAGGTAACTTGGCTTCCTTAGATGAATACCACAACTTGTGTTAGACATCGTCAACAAAAGAGACAAAAAAAAGAGCATACATAAAAAACTGCCCAAATAGAAGAGGCCCATTGATAGAAAGGGACTCTAAACCAAAAGGATAACACCTCGCTGGCAATTATTAAAAAAAAAAAAACTTAGAAACCAATCCAAAGGTAAGTATTAAATCTAATAATCTCCAAAATACTCCATGGATCTCTCTACCTCTAATGATTCTATTATTTCGCTCAATTCAAATCCCCGCACAAAATAGAAACACGTCTGCCACAAAAATCTCCCCTTGACCCGAAAGATGGAATAATAAACTTAAAATGGTGTCATATCCAATGTAAGACAAGATTCTTACTTCACATAAGACATAATAATAAACTCAAAAGTTTGTAAAACTCGTCACAGCATAATCCCAAATAACTTACAGATCTCACATTCATAAAAAATTTTGGCTTATTTTCTATAGTTGCAAGGTCAATTAATGATTCTATTTCAATGCAGTGTCTGAATCACCATAACTTGCGCAACCAAAGTTTGAGTACGAAAAACAATAACAGGTCTAACGGCACTGTACACATGGAGCGAGGAGAGAGAGAAGCAGGACTACCACACTATAACACATGGTGTGAAACTCCAGATATCATGACGAATGAATATTTAACTAACATCACCAGCCAATCCCAGAAAATGATAAATGGCAGATGGAACGAGAGATATGGGGGAGAAGTACAGGTGATCCAGAGGTAACAAAGATCGAGAAGATTCCAAATTAAGGATACAAATTTAACTACATACATACAAATGTTTTATAAGTTAGTTGATCAGTTCACGATTATTCTCAAGTTCAGCATTGAATCAAAATTACCTTCGCCACAGGGAGACTTCCTGGTGGTAATGTGCAGGACTTTTGTTGGCATCCTCACAGGCCCTTTAACCCTCAGTCTCTTGTCCTTGGCTCCCCGAACCAAATCGGTACAAACTGACGATTAAAAAATGGAGTGAACCCACTAAAAGTGAGGATTGCGATAACATTCACAAAACTGAACACATCAAGAAATCAAATCTCAATTATTTGTAGAAACATATCCTAAAACCCGAAGAGGCTCAACCCTATCATTGAAGACTCGCCCAGAGCAGCAACATGAAATCGAAGGCCACGATATGAATAACAATTCAATAATTATAATGTTACAAACAAGTGGAATATAAAAGGTGAAAAGCCAACGAATTACCAACAACTACAAGAACAATAGCGCGAATGTGAAGAACCCATATATTTCAGAAACGCATTACAAAAACGTAAAGCCAACAGATAAACGAGCTTCATCAATAACTTCAAACCATGAGATCCGGAGAAGATATATAATCTACTTGCACACTATGGAATAACCAATGCGACTTGGTTCTAAACAGAGATAAGGAGTTACCCTTCTCAAGGTTCTTGACGTTCTTGGACGAAAGAGTGATCCTAATCTTGTGGATCTGCTCCTGTGACTCTTCCAAACCAGGCTTCGTAGTCTTCATCGCAGCATACGCCATGTTTGCTTACTTCCTGAAAACTACGAGAATCAGATAGGAAAAAGGAACAATAAACGAACACCATGTGAAGGGGGGCGGAGAAGCTTACCGGCGCAAGGGGCGGCTAACGCTGCTGCTAGGTTTCAGTTGGAGGATTTAGGGTCGAAGAAGATGGAAGTTTGGAAGCTAGGGTTTTGTATTAATATCCGTGGACTGGAGGCCCGAATTCTAGTATAGATCGGGCCAAATTTGAAGGTTGAAACCTCGACAATTATCTTTATCCGTAGAAACCTAATTTTAAAAATGTCACAAGATTTATGTATTTAAGTCCATGATATTAAATTCTCGTTGCTATGTGACATTTTTATAAATTTGATATCTATATTGCAATAAATATCGATAAAACATGAAAAATATTAATAAAATATTACTAATATAAATATTGTATTAATATTAATATCAATATCAATATTTTTATTGTTATTTTCATCGACATCGGCATTTAAAACTTTGATTATAGTTGATAAAGTTTATAAGTCTCTTGAAAAGTTTAATTCTAAAAGTAGCAGTTGTCGTATTTGGGATTTGGATGATACATTTACGGTTATTTGTGGAATTTAGCCAGTAAATTGTCCTTCACTTGTAATGGTTCAATTCGTCGGGTTGGTAACCATTGTGATTACATTTCTATAGAGATTGATGTTAATTTATTATCTTCAATAATTAAACATCGAGTAGGAAGGCCTAGAAAATAAATGATACCTACGATTGGTGAGATGATAAAGCACACAAGATGCAACCGTTGTCGATGCGTTAGTTAGAATCATAGAAGTTGTAAATTTGCACCTATTAAAACAATGATGTATATCACTTGTATTATCAGTTACTTGAGTTATTATTAAGTATATCAATCACAATGTATATCAAAGACTTCTAATCGAGGATAGAATTGCTACTTTTATTATTGCTAATTTTTCTGAAATATCAGGTATAATAAATTAGTTTATCATGGATATATATTAATAGTTATAATTGATATACCTAGTATATAAGTACATCAAAGTATATCAGTAATGTTATTTGAATATATCAACAATATATTTCATATTAGATATATTAATTAATTGATATATACCTTATTTGCAATACATGAAAGTGCTAGCTGATATACCTAGTATAGATTACATCAAGCTATATCGGTTATGACTAATTTACTTTCAATTATAACAGATATACCTTAGTTGCAATTCATCAAAGTATATCAATTAATTTATATAGCTAGTATGAACGTACAACAAAATATATCATTTATAACTGATTTACATAATATTAACTACGTCAAGGTATATAAGTTGTAACTGATTTACCTGGTATGGAGTATGTTGGTATGGGGTATGTCAAGGTACATTAGTAACTCAATGATATACTTCATACTTGGTAAATCAGTGTTAGCGTTCAATTTTTGTAATCTTACATGAATTTTGTTGGCATTCTATTCAAAACCAATATATATTTTTTTATTTTATTTTATGTACAACAACTCGGCAGCGGTAAAAAAAGTTGCATATTATGGTGAACGAGGGAGACTTGGAATATTTATATATAAACAACGTTATAAGTCAACGATATACATTAAAAGACTAAAAAGACGTAATATAATTTGAACACAATCTTACATACCTAGTATACTTATTATATCAAGATATATTACTTATAAATGATTTATTTTGGTACAGAGTAAATCAAGGTATATCATTAACTCGATGATATACTTCATACTAGATAAATCACTACTAGCATTCAACTTTTATAGTATGTATTATAAGGTATATATCAGTTACCAAATACGAAGTGTATTGCTATATACTTCGAATAAGTTATATCAATGATGTTATATTTAATATGAGTATATCAAAGTATATTAAGTATGAAATACATCAAGATAAATGAAAAAGTAATGAGGTTTACGAACAAGAAGGAAGTGAAAAGAGGTAAGTAAAAAATAAACTAATGTAAACTATGTGGGTTGAGCATTCGTGTTAGGCTAAATGATCTGAGGGTAAATTAGACTTTTTTTTGCTTAAATGTGCTATTTTTCCAAATTTTTAATTAATTTTTGCTAGTTCTCCTATATTAAATAGTCGCTAATCTCTTAGATAATTTTCAATTTAGAATTTCATCTTTTATAATTCTTAAATTCACCGGTAATATATTAAGAATTCTTGATTAGATCATTTATAAAAAATATATTACTACTTCTTTTAAACTTGTGTGCCATTAAATTATTATTTTATTAACATTAGATGAGCTTGTGTACGTGGAAATGCCATTTGGGCATGTCAGTTTAAAAGAAATGAATTTCTTAGTGGGTGGGTTGAATTTTGCCAATGAGCTAACTAAGTTTTATGTGTGAAATAGCGTTTTTGTGTCATATTCACATATCTAATTATTTTAATAAAACAATGATTTAATTATTTATAACTTCTTGTTAACATTTTTTTAAAATAAAAAAGAACCTAATTAATAATTTTTATTACATTAAAAATTAAATTTGAGAATTTTAAAAAATTAATGATTGGATTAGTGGTGGACCCAAAACTTTATATCTAACGATATATGAGCAGTCGGTTAACGAGGAGATTCAATTCTATTGCCTAATAAATGGCATGCGAGCATGTACACCACTAGGCAACTTCATGACCAAATACACAACATATATATATATGCTCGTCCTGTTTTTTTAGTATAACATGTGGTGGTGAATATTCGAATTTGTGACCTTTTGATGAGAGATAGACGTCTTAACTAATTCAGTTATGCGTAAGTTGACGATACACAAAATATATTACTAATTAATAAAAGTTTCAAAGTTGTGGGAGCCTCGTGCCATATGTTGATTCGTCAGTAAATCAAATTGGGAATTTTCTCAAAGACTAAAGACAATTTTGTATGTTCAGTCAAAAATTAAAAATAAGAAATTCTTGTCGAACATATTTGATTCTTTTTTTTTTTTTGGGGTAAGTTATAAGTTTAGGTCTGTTTACTTCAATGGAATATGAAAATACCATTTTCAGATTCTGATCATTTTATAGAATATTGAGAGTGGACGATGATAAAGCCAGCAATTTGGAAACTAATTTGGCGTTTGATTGAAACATGTTGCTTAGAAATAAAAGTGGATTTAATTGGAATAATCAACTCATGAAATTAAAATGAGAAAAAAGTGTATATGATGAGTGTCAAAGTATGAGAAGTAAATAATTTTATATTGTATATTTAATTCAAATAAGTTATCCGTTAACTTTAAAGTTTGTGTCTAATAAATCTATAAATTTTAAAAAGCGTACGATAGATTAATGAATCATGACTTTTAAAAAATGTTGAATAGGTCTGTGAACTTTTAATTTCATGTCTATTTGATATTGAACTATTATACATTTTTTAAAATTCACAAATCTATTAGATATAAATTTTATTTTCTTTTTGAAATTACAAGAACTTTATTAATGAAAAAGACCACTTTAGGTTACATGAATAGGAGGGAAAAAACAAGCTCTTTTAGCTAAAACATTAGCTTACTTATTTCATTTTTTATTAGACTTAATTTTGAAAGTTAATGATTATATTAAACTAAAAATCAATTTTATATTTAATAAAATCTATCAACATCAAAAGAGGTATGATAAGTCAAGAATTTATTATACACAAAAGTTAAAATTTTAGAGATTTATCGTGCACAAGATTAAGAGACACGTCAATTATAAAACTAAAAGTTTAAAAACTTATTGCATATTTTTTAAAACTGAGAGAACCAATAGACGTAAACTTGACTTTTAATTTATTTATTTTTTGTGTTGGTTTGTTTTTACTTTTAATTTTTAAATTAAAAATAGAAAACAAGAAAGAAGAAAAAGAAAAAGAAAAAAAGGCCTAAAAATTCGTAAATTCGTTTTATTACCGCCCGGAGAAGGTAGAAAGAGCATCTGGTCTTCACAATCGCAAACACCCAATTTCAGCAACACACAGAGATCGCGAAGCGAAAGAGATAGAGAGAGGAATTAGGGTTTCTGACAGAATGGCTATGGGACTAAGGACATACCCGGACAGAAGGCGTGATGGATTACCACATTTCGACGTCAACCAAGGCGAGGTTCTCATGCACATCGTGCCTGCCATCGCCCTCGTATTCGATAATCGCCTTCCCGAGTTCCCTGGTACTCTTTACGTCTCCTCTAGGTACATTCTTTCTCTCCGCTTTTTCGCGTTTTCGCATCATTTTCTTCGACAATGTCTGTTCTAGAGGAGGGAAACTGAAAGAAAATTTTGGGAATTAGGATCCCTTTTGCGTGGGGAACATGTCTTTTTCTTTTAAAATTGATTTTCGATGAGCGAGGGGAGGGGTGGAACGTATTGGTTTCTTGAAAATGAAGAGCGTTTCTGAATCTTGGGATGAAACGATCGCTTTTGGGAATTTGATTGCTGATGCGAGTATGAGAAAGAAAATACCACCCTCTAAAGATATAAAGATAAAAGGAAATCAATAAAAAAGTTGAAATTAAAAATAAATGTTGAAGAAAAAAAGAACAGAAATTATACTCAACTTGAACAGTGATGGTTATTTACCTTGCCTGCATATGATGCTCACCATATATTCAAATTCAATCATTATACATGATTGCCTAATGATCTTGTGTATGAAATTCATCAATTTACCAAAGTTAACATTAGACTTGTTGTGCACGAGATGCAGTTTTTGGTCTAACATTAACTTGTTAAATACTTTTCCTTATGAAAAGAAAACATATTGGTTAAGGTTCAGAAAAGGAATCCTTGGATTTTCTTGATACCTTTTTTGGTGTGTTGTGTGGATGGGTAGTGAGTGAAAGCCAACTGCCTTTTATTCACTGTAAGCAATCAGGTGAAAATCCCTGCTTTTTTGGGTTTTAATCATGTCTGGCCAATCTATAGTTTATCTTTGGTTGTATTTTGTTCGAGCAATTTTATGCGCTATTTGGTTAGAAAGGAATCATAGGGTTTTCCATGACCAAAAGCTTCCTTTTGATCCTTGTATTTGAATCTGTAGTCTTTGTAGTTGCGTCTTGGTGCAAATGTTTCCCTCTCTTTCATCACTTTAGTATATCTTTTTTGGCATCCAATTGGAGAGGTTTTTTGTAACTCATTTGGATTGGGATTATCCCCCTTTTGTACTTCTAATTTCATATCATCAATGAAATTGTTTCTTTAAAAAAAAAAAATAATAATGTCTGGCCAATCATTGTCAAAGTTTTATGTTTTCTCTAATTCAATCTTGCATGGGTTATCCTTCCATGGAGAAGACTAAAGTTTTGTGAATCATTCCATCTTTGCTATTATCTTGGGAGTTTGGTTTGAAAGTAGTAGAAAGAAGACTATTCTAAGACTTGATAAACCTTTGGTGTTTATTTTTCTCGAGGCCTCCAATTGGATCTGTCTCTCTTTTGGCTTTGTAATATATCTCTCCATCGTTTTAGCCAATTATAGTGTTCTATGATCTCTTTTGGTCTTGACTTGGGTGATTTTTTATCCATCCTTGCGTGCTTCCATTCTTGATGAGATGTTTTCATTTGCTGTCTCTCTCATATATGTATGTAGAGGCTTAAAGCGAAGATTTTTTGTGGCTTCCCCTCAATGCAACAGTGTCAGTTTTTTCAATGATTGCTCACTGGTTTTCTTTAAATATAAAGTTAAAAGTTTCCAGGTGGCTGCTGTATAGGCTTGCAATTAGGAGATTAGGCTAGAAAGGGTCTTTCCAAAATGTGGCTAGAGGGGAACAAGACGTTTGGGAGTTTGCCATTACAAAGTGTGTTTTTTATTTCTCTGTAATTTTTTTGGTAGTTGTTATATATGTTTCTTAATCGAAGCCCATTAGATGAAGTTTTTGTAACATCATTGGCTGGTTCCTTACCACCCTCTTTTGGAGTCTTTGTTTTTTGTTTTATTCTATTAAAAAAGGATAATGGGAAGATCATTGTAGTATTAGTTAATACCAAATCAATGGCAAGGCTAAGCCAACCACTATTGAACAAAATTTCTTAATTCTTTTTTATTACTTTGGTTTTTGATAGATAAGCTGATTTTTTCTAACATTTGTTCCTGTCGTTTCTTTTCCTGTTGTCTCCTTTTGTAGTTGGCATGCGAGTACTCTTCTTGTATCAAATGAAAAAAATTCCTTGGTTATTATCATATGTTTTTATGTAGAAAACTTATTTGTTAATTGAATATTTTGTTTTAATTGCATACTCTTCAATTGAACATGTTCTATTAAAAAAAAAAATTAATAGATTAACTTGTTGACATGTTGAGAAAATTTAACCTGTTTGTAGGCAACTGGTTTGGTTGAGTGACGCGATTCAGACAAAAGGCTTTGCAATTGATTTCCTATCAATGTCATTACATGCAGTTTCAAAAGACCCCGATGCCTATCCTCATCCTTGTTTATATGTCCAGGTATTTTCTTGTGCAGTTATACATAATTACTCATTAATTTTAGGGAAAATTACCTTTTTAGTCCCTAATTTTGAGGAATAGATCAGTTTGATCCCCGATTTTTCAAAAGCTACATTTTAGCTATTGAGTTTGAAAAATAGGTTTAAAAAAGGTCTTTGGCTTCTCCTTTTCCATTAGCTACAACAATCTGGACATTTTATTAATAATTTTTTAATGTTGACATGGAATTGTTAGATTTTTTATTATTATTTTGTTGACATGGAATTTAAGATTAAAAGAAAATAAATCTCTTCCCTCGTCGTCCCTTTTTCCCCTCCCGTTGTCCCCCTCCCCCTTTCTACCGCCAACCACTCTCCCTCTAGTTTGGTTGCTGTCAACCCTCCCCCAATGCCAGTCCAGCATCATGAAACTTGAGCTTCATCGCCACTGATGAGGATTTACCAAAGAGGTGTTTTGGTCGTTGCCCACCTTCTTATGCACTTGATCTCGAGGCTTCTGTTGCTATAGCAACAACCTAAGCTTCCATTCTCTTTACTTCACATTTGACGCCACTGAAACCTTTTTTTTACATGAATCGCTTCACAACCATTGCTTCCTTCCACTTCTCTTCCAACAGTTTTGGCCATCTTTGACCTTATCTTTCCTCAACCCCCTTCTTCCTAACCCCACTACCACATATTTTTCATCACCATTTCTGTCACTCTCCTTTCCCTTGTTATCATCTTTCTCATTGTAGTATTCTTCTACTTACAGAGAAGAAACCAAATTCTTTGATATTGATAATGAGAATGGACCCTTAAATCTCTAATACAATATAAGGCTTCAAGGACTGGTAATCTCCCATTGTACCCACTTGACATTAACCCCTTCAATGGTGCCTATAAGCATCCTCAAGCACTCCAGCTCCAATATCTTTACCTCGATACTTCAGCGAAATATCGATAGGTTGCCAACTGATGCTCTAGGCTCAGACTACATTTGCAGTGCCAAAGATGCCTCGCTAGAAATCTTTGTCGGCAAGGGTGTAGCCCAAGTTTGATGACAGTGTACCCTCATTGGGGGAGGGTTGACCCTGATAGAAGGGGAGGAGGAGCGGCTGGTGAATGATAAGAGGGGGAGGGGAAGAGAAAAGAGAGGGGTAGGGTGAGAGTTTTTTCTCTTTAATCTTAAAGGCCATGTCAGGTTTTGCGCATTGTATCGAATTAAACCACATGCTCCACCGCTTGTGCAGGCCCCCAATTTCAGCATTAAAAACTTATTAATAAAATGTCCAGTTAGCCACCCTTACTATAGCCAACGGAGAAAGTGATGCCAAGGACTTTTTAAACACCTCTCTCAAAATTTAGGGGCTAAAGTGCAATTTTTGAAAGTTTAGGGACCAAAGTGACCTTGGTTTTGGTTTATAATTTTAGTTTCCTTTTGCACAGAATCCTGGCATCATGTCATGTAAAACCTACCAAAACTATTAGGTGGATTTGTTAAAATGAGACGTTAGATTTTCTATGTGGTATGATTCTTGCTATTGAGGAAATGTTATTCCCATAAATTTTTATATTATGGGAATAATGAAATAAATAAGAGATTAAAATAACATTTTTGTCCCTGCACCTTTAGATTTATTTTATTTTAGTCCCTAACCTTTTAAATGTCCAAATTTAGTCTCAATAAATAGTTCCCTCCGTCAGTTTGAGGTTGATTTCAATCTGACTTAGCCAATATATGTGTATATATATATGATAGGGCACAATGTGAATATGTTTGCCTAGAGGGAAGACCTACAGGAACTATATTTGTTTTGCGAAAATCGACCCAAAATTAACCATGGAGACTGTTATTAAGATTAGTTGCAATTAAATGGACTTAATATGGACATTTGAAAGTACATGGATGAAATAGAGTAATTCTCACAATGGTATTTTAACCTAAATGAAATTTATGATGAATCGAATTGTTTTATTATATCCTCTCTGAAACTTTTGAATCCTAACCTTGACTGGCTTCTCCCGTGCTTTTTTTCTGTTGATCCGTACAAACATAGATACATAATGGTTGATCTTGTACAGACATAAATACATAGTGCATGCACGATGTTAGAAATACCATTAGGGTATATGTTAGAAATATTATCAGGATATTAAGGGCATATCAGTAATTATAAGGTTGCATGTTCGATTCATGTAGGAGGTGGTTATAAATAGCGTGAGTGAAAGAGGGGAAGACAAGCAATGGTTTGTTTTCCCTTTTATTTCTTATATTTTTAAATAAATGAACAACCATGCTTTCTAGAGCAAATGAAAGGAAGGATATGTATGTACAATGGGTGAAAGGATATACAATGGGCAATACAAAAGACCAGCCCACAACAAACAGAGCCAAAATAGAAACAGATAGGCAAGCAATGGTTTAGTTGTTTAGGCTCGAGTTTACTCAAGAAGGTGGTGTCTAAGTTCCTCTAATTACTTGGGGGTATCTTACATTGTTTTCTTATTCTATAAGTTATCAATGCAATTCTTTGGTTTCTATCAAATTGGTATGAGAACATCAATTCTGATCATGGTTGATTGAGACCTAGAGGCTTGAATGGATGTAGTGGGATAAAGTTATATAGTTTACAGAATATTTTGCATCTAGAGGTTGATCGAACTAGGGAGCATATGGGCCAATAGGCCATGGCCAACTCAAAAAGAAAAGTGCGGGTCATGGGTGGAGCAAGGCTGTAACTGTAGGTAAATATGGGGGTTGGGTTACCAGTTTGACCCAGTTAGAAAATGAAAAATTCCACCATTCTCATGTAATACATCTTCCCCTGAATCAACTGAAGTAATGATCAAAGGCTGGTCGTACAGCAATGACAAGTCAAAACAATACCATTACACCTATGACGGATTCTCTAAGTGCTAATTGTGTAAATCTAAGCACAAATTTGAGACTGTATATTCAAATTTTCCAATTTGGTTGTAGGGGAGAATTTGTCTTTCTCCATTTTGTTGTGTTAATGGAAACCTTGGGACTCTTCTTCGTGGAATGCATTTAGATCTCGGGGTTTTTGTTGCCTTATGTTTCATGGTAAAGCAGTATGTTTGGTGTTCTGTGGGATTGAAGTTGGAATTTGGATGGATTTGGAGTTGTTTTTTTATTTTTCTTTTCAAAAGATAGAGAAGGAATTAAAAGATAAATGAAAAGAAAGTTGTTAAAACGAACAGAAAAGTCATTAAGAAAGAAGTTGTAAGAATAGAGGTGGAAAAAAAAAGAAAAGCAGTTGTTGACTTTTCTTTTTTCTTGGTTTTTGCTTTTTTTATAGTTTTTATTTTTCTTTGGAGAACCTATTGATCCTTCACACTTTGAGGACAAGGGGTGTTGTGTTTTGATTTTTAATTGTTTAGACTTGAGTTTACTAAGGAGAGAGGTGTCCAAGTTCCTGAAATCACTTGGGTGGTATCTTTAGGTAAATTCTTTTCTGGGAAGTTATTAATACAACATTTCCATCACGTGCACATACACATTTCGATAGGGAACAAAACCTTTTTAAATTATATGTAAAGTACACAGAAGTTAAAACCAAAACCTACACACACCTGCGACAGGGATCATGAAAATTTTGAATGTGAATGCAGCCATGGATGTAGGCGACTGTCCTTGGATGTTAGTTTTCCGCCGTTAATTGAACTATGCTCATATTTACCTTCCAACTTTGAGAAATTGAAAAGCAACATTTGATAAGAATTAGTTATTTGCCATCTAGCATTGTATTCAAGCATGATGAAAATTCGTTTATCTTATCTAAAAAAGGATGAAAATTCGTTTAAATATCTGCTCCTCAAGCACTGCTCTTTTTTCTGGTCCTTTTTCTAACAAAATTCTTTATTTCCCATGCCGTTTCCTTTGCTGATTGTGTTTGAAGATTGATACTGGAGCTGATGAAGAGTCTGAGAATTCAGATTCAGAATGTCGTATCACTAGTGATACCTTGGACTTAGCTGCGGTTAGAGAGCTGAGGCTTGTACCTTCAAACCCTGACGAATGTATTTTTCTCTCCTTTTTTTCTGCTGCAGTTTAGTTTAATATAGGTTTAGGGTAATATAATTACCACGAATGATATTGCAAAGTAGAATAATACCTTAATTTCCTTTTCAATAGTAGAAACTCTGTTCGAAATATGCTGTCAGTGTGCTGAGCTTAATCCGGAACCAACTGGAGGTTAGTGCAGTTCCATAATGGTCTTTGGTTTCTATTTTCACTAGTTGGCCTTTTGTATTAACTACATGCTTCCTTCAGATGAAGAAGAAGGGTACAACTGGTTTTTAAAACCCGAGCAGTTGAAGCGGCTTAAACTTGAAATGGCAGGTACGGAGTCAAGTAATTGTTAATTTTTTTAATGCTCTTTAGAAATGATGTAAAAGCATATTTTATAATGCAATATGTAGAACTAGAACATTTTGGAGAAGATCCGGAAGAAATTTTCCCCACATATCCAAAAAACTCAATCGGCCAATCAAATGTGGATGATGATCAACTAGCTCGCACGGTGCTTGAGGTATGTTCACGAACACAATATGTCCCTCGGCAAAGCATTTGGTGCTATCTCGGATGGTGATTTATTTGATATATGCCAATTCTACAGTTGTATTAAAATACATTTCTTTTGTTTTCAACCCTCTATTCTGGTTTTCTTATTGCTTTTTATCTGCAGCTTCAAATCAACGATAAGCGTTTTGAGGATGCAGAAGAGGCAGAACCCGGAAACGACAGTAACCGTCGGTGAGCTTGTACCTCGAGAAGTAAAGTGCCCTTATGTGTTACATTTCGTCAATATATAATACCTAAATCCTTGCTGTATATGCAAATTTTTGTGTTTCACATCAGACGGACAGATTGAGCTTTTGACTACCATGTTAAACTCGGCCTTTATTTACCGCTTAATGACAACTTCTATGGCTACAGTTTCAATGTTGAATGCTCATCCTGCTCATTTGGAATGTGCTGTGTGTTTGAATATTTTTATTTTTGATTTTCGAGTAGAGTAGTTTGAATAACTTGTTAAGTTTTTCCTTCTCAAAAAAAAAAAAAGTTTTCAGTTATAAAATTATTTCTCATTTTAATTTCCCTCTTTCTAACAACAGTTGCATCTCTTATATTTTTCTATCAAACTACGTTATCTTCCTAGTATTTTCATCAATATTAATATAACGAAAAAGTTTAAGAACTATACATATATATATGATGGATTTTTATGGTTAAAAATAAATGTTAAATTATAAATTTAGTCTGATTTTATATTTCGATGTTAAACTTTGTTACTCTAATTAACTCATTTAAATTTTGACATGAGCACATGATAGAAGAATAACCTAACTAATTTTTTTAGGTGGCATGTCCTTACTTTATATAACTAAACCTATATAATTTATTTTTATTGTCTTGAGTTATGTGTTAAATTATCACTCCTTAGTTTAAACAACATATTACATCAATCCGACAATAATTGATAGATGCTTTATTTGTGCTAAAAGAAAACCATTATCTTAAAAAAATTTAGCATTCTTTTCTAGAAAAATAGGAGATGGGGTGTTATCAAAATATGCTTTTTAGAACAAAAAAATCACAAGTATTTTTAAACATGTTTAATTAATTTTTTTTCCCTTCTTTGTGCTTCAGAAGTAGAAAACCAGAAATCAAATAAAAGTCTCCTGCACCAAATGTTATATTTAAATGAAAGGTTAAGTAGATAGGTAGCCTATTTTAGAATCTTGATTTCATAAATAAATATTTATTCATGTAGATTTCCCGTATTAAAATATGATTTTTGACCTGAAAATACCCTCTATTAAATTCTCCCTATTACATTTAATACGTCTTTTTTAATTGATTCTATCCTACTAAAGACATATATTTACCTTTATTAATGAATAATTATATGTGAAATATTGATTTAACACATAAAGAAAGTTTTCCTTTGAATTTTCATTATAGGGTTGGATACCAAATTTATCATTGAAAATTTTCTCTTATTTGTTTCAGTTGTCCAGTTTTTTTTTTTTTTTTTTGTCCCCCCCCAGCGTATCTTCTTCTTCGGCGTATATTGTATATTAACGTCATCATTTTTTCTTTTTCCGGCAATAATTTAGTTGCCGATAGCTCTACCATTTTATTTTAGGTATATGATACATATGTAATGTTAATCATATTTCAATGATATTGTAAGTTATTAAAGAGTTCATTTTGAATATATGCTGTATATACTTTGTAACAAAAATATATATTAGATTATCTAATAGTTTAGTATATACCAATGAAAGGTATGTATTATATAATCTATTAAACAGGTATAATTTACCATAGATCAGATGAAAATGCAAGTAATTATATAAAGGTCGCTGAAAAAGGAAATTAAACCGTCAGAAAAATTAATAGATAAATAGAAAAAGCGGTTAGAATAGTGAAGTAAAGTAGCTGAGACAATTGAGAACATATATCAAAATGTTTGCGTGAAGATTGGGGCAAGAACGAAGAATGAAATGATAGTAAACAGATAGGTTCTAAAACTTTTCAAACAACTATGAAAAATAGATATAACGTATCAATCAAATATCTACAATTTCTTATAAAAAAAAATTACCAACGAAAGTTTTTTTTCTCTTTGTTAAAAAAAAAACATTAATTTATCGTTGTCTTTTAGAGCAGACTATGACTACAAATTTTCTTTTTCTAATGGAATTCCAATAAGTCTATCTACATTTTATTTCCTTCTCTTTTATTTTAAATTGAAGTTACTTTCAATTTCAATCGTGCATTTACCAAAGTTGTTTGTTGTATATCGACAGTGAACTTGCAAACGAGTCCGTCATTTTTCCGTCTAGAGCAATCACCACCAAATTTGAGTCCTATGATGTCAAGTTCCGACCTCAGTCACACCTTCCTTCACCCCGTAATTACAGAACCGTGTGGCCATCTCGGGAAGGGATATTAAAGGCGGTTAAACACAAGCGTCATTCTTATAGTAACAATCCTAGGAGGAGATTAAGCAAACTTAATGACTTTCTCGAAGCGCCTATCACCTAATTCAAATAGTAAAACCAATTTACACTATACGTTAATTTTGACCTGAACTTTAAGAATAATTGATTAAGATTCCTATCGACTTGAGTGTTGGAATACTCACCTCTCGGTCTCTCTTCTTCTAACTTGGGATTTAGGAAGAAGTTTTTATGCGAAGATTATAGGTATTAAAAAAAGAAAGAAAAATCTTCTTCCTTCATTCTCTTCCTCTCGGGCAAAAATCTAGGGTTAGTCGGTCTAAGAAAATTTGAATAAGACTTAAAAGATTTAAATAGAAAACCCTAACAAAAACCTCTTAAAATATAATTTAAAAAAAAGGGAAAAAATACCTTTATCAAAATTTTCTAATTTAAAAACTAAAAATAAATTATCTTCTAAAATTATCATAATAAAATAATTTCTAAAACAAAAAAATAAAAATAAAAATTTATTTCTAAAACAACATATTTGACTAGCAGGCAATTTCCCTATCTTGTTAATAGACATTCACGACTAGCCGGCAATGGCCAATGACAATCCGTAGCTTTCACTCTTGTAAGGATATAATTCAAATTTAAAGAAATAAATCTAGATTTTTAGGATCTAAATAAAATTTTTAAATTATCCTAAATAAATCTCATTCTATTACATTTATAATTTTATTTCTGTATTATTAAAGTTTTCAGACATTCATGTAGTTAGGTGTCTAAAAATATCTAGTTGTATTGTTATCTCTGCAATTTAAAGAAGAAAGTCTGAAAACCGACCCGACCCGACCCCTAGAAATAGCCTTGTGGCCAAAATTTAACTTGGGCCTTGAATTTTCCGATTCGCTAGATCTGCAGATCGGCTCTTGACTCGTGATAATGGGCCTTGGGCCTTGGGCCTTGGGCCTTGCATTGGTTCGTAATTCTCTGTGTGGGCTCGGCACGTGATCTTAATCTCCATTTCGTTTCTTTTTCTTTTCGACGGATGGAATTCCTTTCTTTTCTCTCAGTTTGAAATTCAAACCTTTTTCTGCTCCATCATAATTAATAAAAATAAGAAATAAAATAAAATCAACATATATATTATTTTCTTTCCTCCAACGGTCCTTTTCTTTTAATATCGCTCCCACGAATTCAAAACGCGGAAGAGGACGAACATTCCTCTTCTCCCAGAAAATAAGAAACAGATCTCGGGAAAAATCGCCGTTCCTAATCGCCACGAAATATTATCTGAGAATCGTCCTCATCAGGTTTGTGTTTGAGCTCTCTGATTTTTCTTCTCACTCCTTTGATTGAAGGAAAGAGCAGCCTATACGGTGAGGAATTTTGTTACGACTTGGAGAAATAAAATGTTTGCGTTGCGTGTATGTATTTGGTCGTAGTTGCAATTTTTGTTTTCAAATTTAGTGTTTCTTGCACCGGGAGGATGGTGTGTATTTTCTCCTATTTGAAATTTTGAAATGATGAATCGGTTTTCTTCTTACGTCCATGTTTTAATCAAAATGACGGAAATTATTTTAAATGTCTTGCTATAAGGAACCGAAGTTTGGAATGAGGTTCATTGATGTATAATAATTTGAGCATTTTGTATTCCCATAATTTGATGCTTTGTTTTCGAGGCGGTTGTTGCGTTTCATATTTTGATTGGAGTAATCGTTTGCTTATGAATGTTTGATCAGAGGCGAATTTTCTTAGCTTCTTGTTTTCCCCCCTTGGAATTTGAATGTTGATCGATCATTTGCTTTTTTTGTGGTGCAAATTTTTTTTATACTTTTTGATACACTGATTCAATTATCTTCGGTAGCTGACAGAATTTCGTCAGCATGACTAACGTTCCAAATGATCCACTCTTACAAATGGAAACAACATGTGGAACACTTCTGCATGAACTTCAGGTTTTTGCTTGACTCTCATTTTTGTGAATTTTTCTTTTGTCCGCCGTGATATTTTGTTGCTTTTTCCTCCACCTTTTTGAACAATGCTGTCATTTTTGGTAAGTTCACATGGCTGGAATATTTATATCTTTTTCATTACTTTTCCATATCAGATTATTTGGGATGAAGTAGGCGAAACTGAGGCCTCAAGGGACAAAATGTTGCTTGAGGTTGAACAGGAGTGCTTAGAAGTTTATAGAAGAAAGGTAGATCAAGCAAATCGTTTTAGAGCTCAGCTAAGGCAGGCAATTGCTGATTCCGAAGCAGAATTGGCTGCCATCTGCTCTGCAATGGGAGAGAGACCAGTACATACGAGGCAGGTTGGAGCATGTTTCAGTTAATACTTTACTCGCATTACACCTCGGATTAATTTTGATTCTATTTAAGTAATTTGACCATCATAAAGATAAATGTGAGAAATATGCATGTTGTTATCACGGTTCTTGGAGTCATAAACAGATGTATGGTTTTAAACGCTTTCTAGGCTCTATACAAATCAATAAATGAGACCAAGTTTTAGTGCATCTTCACATGAAGTCTTATGGCTTAGATAATCAGATAATAGTTGGGTTTTCTCTTGCTTACCATAACTCATTTAATATGCAAAGTTTTGTAAAGGAGTTGCTTTTGCAGATACAACTAATATATTGATATTCTTTTTGAATGTTTGATGGTGTGATTATTGATATTTTCTCTATTCTACCCAGGTTGATCAAAAGGCTGGAACCTTGAAAGAAGAGATGGCCTGTGTTCTTCCACAAGTGGATGAAATGCGGAAAAGAAAAGTAGACAGAAGAAACCAGTTTTTAGAAGTCCTTGAACAAATACAAAAGATTTCCTATGAGATTTATGGATCAAAATTTTCACATTCCAGTATAGCTCTAGATGAAAATGATTTATCATTGAGAAAGCTAGAAGAACTAGAAGGACAGTTACACACACTGCAGAATGAGAAGGTCAATTTTGTTGAGTTTTTTAATAAGTTCATGATATATTTTCTAAATTGGTTTGCCTTTTGTTCATGATATATTTTCTAACTTGATCCCCACTTATGCAGAGTGACCGACAGATGGTTATTCAGGAGCACCTTCATACTCTAAACTTGCTTTGTTTAGTGCTTGGGATGGATTTCAAGCAGACAGTGAATGAATTTCATCCCAATTTGGGTAGCCCAGAAGAAGGACCTTTCGATATAACTAGTGAATCAATTGAAATCCTGGCTGCCGCAATAACTAATTTGCGGGAGGTCAAATTACGAAGAATGCAGCGGGTATTACCTCAAACCAATATATCAATGGAAAATAATTCAAATACCAACTGTCTTGTATTGGAGGCTAACACCTTTTTTGCGCAGCTTCAAGATCTGGCTACTACTTTGTTGGAGCTTTGGAATCTAATGGATACACCAATGGAAGAACAACAGCTATTTCAGAGTGTGACATGTAATATAGCTGCTTCAGAAGATGAAATAACCGAACCCAATAGTCTCTCTGTGGGCTCAATTAATTCTGTGAGTTTTTCCAAGTTTGTATCATCTTGATCTTCTGGAATAACATAGCTTGCAGGTCATAAGAATTTAACAGAAATTGATACAGTTCAATGATTAATATTTTGCAGGTTGAAGCAGAAGTGTCCCGGTTAGAAGAGTTGAAATCAAGCAAGATGAAAGAACTTGTTTTGAAGAAGAGGTCAGAGCTAGATGAGATTTGTAGAAAAACACATTTGGTCCTGGAAGAAGATACAGTAGTGGAATATGCAATTGAAACTATAGACTCTGGTATCATCCACTGTGTAATATAAAATGAAAAACTTCTGCTTCTTACCTCTGTTGTTTTATGAACTTGAATACCATTCCATCTAATGCAGGAGATGTTGACCCTGCCAGTATTCTTGAGCAAATTGAGCTTCAGCTCGCCAGGATTAAAGAGGAAGCATTTGTCAGGAAAGAAATTCTTGAAAAAGTTGAGAAATGGTTGACTGCATGTGATGAGGAGTGTTGGCTCGAGGAATATAATAGGGTAAAGTGTTTTTCATGTTCCTTGACATCAACTAGTTTGTCTTTATTGTATAAACTTAGCAGCTGCATACTTAATACTCACACTATCTGTGTGTTGCACAGGATGAAAATCGATATAATGCCGGTAGAGGGGCTCATCTCATTCTCAAACGTGCAGAGAAAGCCCGATCTTTGGTTAATAAGCTTCCAGGTTTGTGTTCAAATCATTTTAGTAGACTTTTTGAAGAGATTGATTACATAATCTCAAAAACACCCTCAATAGCAACTAATTTTGTTTACGTCAACAGACTAAGGAGCCTAATAATGTCATTGGTTATCTTAGTTAGCTTTCTGTATTCTCTCTTCTCGTCTTTGAGTATCATAATCATATGCAGGAATGGTTGATGCATTAACTTCAAAAACAATGGCATGGGAGAAGGACAGAGGCATTGAGTTTACATATGATGGTGTAAGTACTTGGGGTTAGGATATTTTAGTTTTCTATTGTTTGTTTGACTTTAACATTTTTGGTGAATTTATTCAAAATTCTGATGTAATCTGCTACTGTCCAGGTCCGACTGCTTACAATGCTTGAAGAATATTCTATATTAAGGCAAGAGAAAGAGCAGGAGCGTCGCAGGATGCGGGTGGATACTTGTTTATCTTTTCAGTTTCCTACTTTTATTGCTCAAATAACACCATCTACCTAAATTCGGTCTCAAGTCCTAAGTTAACTTCTCCCTGTTTAATTTTATTAGGACCAGAAGAAACTCCAGGGACAGTTAATAGCAGAACAGGAGGTTCTTTACGGAACAAAGCCGAGCCCCTCAAAACCCCAGAGTGTTAAAAAGGCTCCCAGAGTTTCAGCTGTAGGTGCAAATAGTAGTAAAAGGCTTTCTCTTGGAGGGTCTATGCACCAAACGCCCAAGCCTGATCCAATTCACAAGGCAACGCCTCAGTCACGTCCATCTAGGAAAGGTGATCAACTCCACCTGAATGATCAAAACTTCCAATACGATGAAGGATTTGGAGCTCTTCCAGCTGGTAAGTTTCTCTGATTGATTGTGATTGATTCATCTGGAATATGCTTTTGTTGGGGCCATGAATACATGTCTGATGGGATCGAAATCTTGAATGTTATTAATCCCCGCCATAGAACTTCTGTGCATCCATTGTCTGGTCAATACTCAACTTAGCCGTTTGAAGGATTTTGTTTATAAGTTTTCTGTTTAAGCTTATGAAAATTACTTGTACAGAAGTTTTCTTTGTATGTGTTTTACTCTGCAAACGAATTCAATTTTTAAAATCAAAAGCAAGTTTTTGAAAACTCCTTTTAGGGTCTCATTCGATAATAATTTCATTTTTAGATTTGTGTTTTAAGAATTTATGTTGGTTTTCTCATAATTTTTTTATATCCTTTTCATCTCTCTTAGAGCCCGATTTGAATTCTTAGCCAAATTTCAAAAATATTAACAAATTAAAATAGTACTTTTGTTCAATTTTCAAATCTAAAAGTGGATCAAAATCAGGATAATATGTGGAAATACTGCTTATAAGCTTAATTTTCAAATACGGAAAATAAAAAATAAAGTAGTTATCAAGAGGAGCGTCAGTTTTCAAATTTTGACTAAGATCTCAAACTTTTTAAGGAAAAATAGGATTAGAAAACAAAAATGAAGTTTGGTATGTTATCAAGCATCCTTATTTATTTGTGTTCCCGAACCTTTCCTGATAAAAAAACTAATACTTATTGATGAAAGTATCCTTATTCAGTTATTTGTCTTTGTGAACAGCAGCAAAAATCACCTTAAGAAAACTTGCATTTTTGGTTTAGTGTAGTAGAGGAAGCCCATAATGTTTGGAAAGCAGCTGCAGTTTGTTCTTCATTTATATATTAAACTTCTATAGAACATGTCCACAAATTCAGGACTAAATTCTGTTCAACTCTTGGCAGTAGTATGGTGTTCTGTGCCTCTCCTTCTTGTTCAATGTTCAGTATAAAGCATTTTTCTCTCAACTGTAGGTCGAAGAGAACTCGATTTTTCTGGTCACCCTGTGAGCCACAGCAACCCATTAACCAATGCTCGGGAAGCAGAGTCACCATTGATTCGGAAACCTTTCGCACCAATTCCTACCGCAGTGCAACCAAAGACGAACACTACGAATTCAACCAATGATGCAAACACAGAGCGTACAACCAGCGACGTTCCATTTTCCACACCTTTGAAGAAGACTTCAGTTGCTGCAGCTGATGAAGATCAGAACATGATGACTGCAAAGGCAATGCCAATTCCAGTGCCGTCAACCCCTTCAACTCTATCAGTTGCAATGCAGACCGCTGAAACCCCCGCAGCCCCACCGCCTTCTTCTGCTTACAAAGCTGAGGAAATCCCCGAAGACGATGTTGAATATTCGTTCGAGGAACGAAGAGCCGGGTTTGTGCTTCCTAAAACGCATATAAAATCAATACAGGTTTGATTGTTGTTGGCACAAAAAATGGGGGTTGGGTTTGCCTCAGGGTGGTTTAGCAAGTTTATTGTGTTAGTTTTTTGGTAGTTGGGGGAAATTTTGAAGTCAATTTCAATTGGCTTTTTCGGAATGTGTACATATATTTTACTCACGGAGAGATGGATTGGGGATGTGTCTCAAGCTATGTGGAACTTTTCAAATTTCAAACCATTCTTATTTTATCATCCTTGCTTCAAATGCTAATCATGGAAATTAATTGGTTTTACAAAAACTTTTTTTTTCTAGTTTGAATTTGGTATCTCATCTGTGATTGGGTACCAAAATTGGTTGTTATTATTATTATCTTTATTTATTATTATTATTTGTGATTCTAAACAATTGTATGGATTGGGGATCAAACAATTGAACGTACCGTTTTATTTTTGTTATTATTATTATTTTGAATAAGTAGGATTCAACACATCATTATTATGAGTTAAAAATTAATGTGGAACGATGTAGTATAACCAATATAATTTTCAAATGGTTCTAGTTTTTTAGGTTTTTTTTGGTTCAATGATGGTAAGAGAGACTCCTCTTGCATAAGTTTATAGTAATAGATGTGGATTACTCCTCTCGTTGTCTATTGATTTTGAGATGGAATACAATCAAGATGAGCCAAAAGTGTTAGCTCTTTAAGATATCGTCGTTTTTCATATGTATGTGAGGTGGAGATTTAAACCATCAATTGAGTTGAGTTATGTTCACATTTTTCATAAATAGATATTCATAGTGACAAAGAAAAATAAATCTTTATATAAAGTCTCGTGAATGAATGTTGCATTGTCAACCATGTAATTTGTCATGTGTTCAATAACATGTGTCACCACCAACACATAAAAGACAATCCTAATATTTGCTTCACAGGTATCTATTGTTTCATTTTTATTTATTTATTTTACATTTTATATATGTATATAAAGTCAATTCTAATATTCTTTTTCTACTTTCGGTCAAAATGGCTCGGTTTTTTTTTTTTTTGAAAAAACCTTAAATAAAACTAAAACAAAGAAAAGTCACTTGCAACTATATCCTGAATCCAAGAAACTCTCGCTTCCGTTAATTCCACAGCTTCTTCAACAAGCCAAATATTTTCTGTTAAGTCGACGTCCTCCTTCTTCATTAATCGAGTTACTTCGACTGAATTCGATTCAAGGTAAATTGGACTTCTACTTTGCATGTTGATGGATTGGAGTCACGAGACATCCAACCTCAAAGTTAGATATGTCTGTCATTATTAGTTTCTAGTAATAAAGCAAGAGCTTCAATAAATTTATAGCATTAACTTCATCACTCAAATCAATCTTAAAAACCTTATATGATTAGTCAACATATTAATGTCATTCCAAGACTTAGTCAAATCGTTTTCATATTAAAGATTGCGAGCCAAACTTCATTGTTGCAACTTTGCAACGTTTTTAATACGGTAGAAAAAAATGTGGCTTTTAGCTTCTGTCGCACTGTAAGCTATAATTCTTAGGGTGTTTTTTTACTTTTGTCATTGTTAAAATTACTTTTCTTCAAATTATTCATATTTGTCAAATTAGAAAATTGATTTTAGAAAAATGTTAAAATTACTTTTAATTGATTTTTAAGGTATCACTTGGACAGTGATTTTGGAAAATCAATTATACTTAATTTTTTTTTTTCAAAATCACTCATTTTAGTATCACTTTCAAACACACCCTTAAACATAGTCAAACAAACAACTTCAAGTATTTATCCATCGCGTATTCATCCCTATGCTCATCCTTCATATCTACCTCATTTGCCTTTAATGACTAGTCCGTTTCTAACACAATAACTCATTAAAACAACCAAAATTCAACAAAAACTAGAATTAAAGAAAAACATTTCAAATCAATTTTTTTTGTTACTTAAATTGGGATTTAAATTTTCCACCAACTTCAACGGCAGTGCTCATATATGTTTGATAAAAAAATCTGAGTCTATAATGATATGATGTTGTCTGCTTTGATATAAATCTCATGACTTTATTTTTCATTTTATATAATACGATAGTTTGCAACGGTCATGACTCGACTGAGTTGACTTTTGATTTTTTACCATCGACCTTTTTTGTAGGAGATAAAAAGTTGATAGTGAGAATGGTACAAGCAAAGTCAAAGAAAATTACACCTAATTTGGTTCATATGAAACGGATTTTGCTTTCTGCAGTCAAAACTGAAAAGATAAAAAAAAAGATAAAGTCTGGCTGGGCAGCAGGTAGAAGGAGAAGAAGACCGGACCGAATTCAATTTATTTCTCTTTTTTGATTAATTTAATTCATTAATTTCCAATCTTTTTTTTCTCTTTTCAAACTTGAAAATTTCCATTTTCTCTGTTATTTATTTCATGGATTTTAATAATATTTATTTTAGTATCTCAACCAAATAAATTCAAAATCAATTTCGAAGACGGACGTGAACCATTTTATTAACCAAATTTTATACTTCCAATTTTCCCCAAATAAAATATTAATTATCTATTAAACTTTTCACCTTAATTTTTCTTTCCCCTGATCTAATTTAATTTTAATTTTTTTTCTTTCTTTATTTATTTCGTCTCATTTCCCTGCAAAACCCTAATTTTCCACACCTCGGAAAATTTTCTTGTGATCGTCCAGAAATTTTTGTTTGGAAATTTTATTTTTTGTATTTCTGAAGAAATTATTTTTACTGTTTTTAAAATTATTATTATTTTTTTTACGATTTTTGGGGAGGGTGATTTGTTGGATTTTCCCCTACTGGAAGCTCTGAGTGCTGTCTGTAATGGCGGAGATTCAGGTTGCCGAGAAGAAACTAAGTTAAAGTTGCAGTACTCAAGCTCCGGTTGTTGATCTAGAAGCAGTTCTACCGGAGGTTTTCGTTTTTGGACTCGCATAAGTTGTGATATTCAACTCACTCCATTGGCTCTGTTTTCGGGTTCTCTTTCATTGTCTTCTACATTGAGACCTCCTTCGAGGTGTGTTGGGTGTAAAATATCGTCTGGAGTGTGTAGCGGAGGATGGAGGTTTAGGGTTTAAGCCGTTGGTTTGGTTTTCTGTAGTGTTCTGCTTTTGAATCCTTTGTAGTGAAAATGGAGGAGAAAGAGGGCGTGGATTTCGGGTTTGCAGTAAAGGTGAGGGAAGCTCCAGAAAGCCTCGGGATGATGGATTCGAGACCGGAAAATAGTAGCGCAGATGGTGAGCCGGCAGTAGCTGCGGCGGCGGCGGCGGGTACAGATGGAAAGAAGAAGAGAGGGAGGCCAAGAAAGTACGGCCCCGATGGGAAAATGGCGCCAACGTTGTCACCAATGCCGATTTCGTCGTCGATTCCGCTAACAGGAGAATTTTCAGGCTGGAAACGGGGCAGAGGGCGGTCGGTGGAGTCCATTAAGAAGTCGCGCAAGTACGAGTATGAGATTCCTCCAGGTAAACGTGTCGTTTATTTGGAATTATTTGATAATTTGAAATTCCGTTAAGTGGTGGTTCTGTTTTACTGTTACATATGGCGTAGAAAGCGATGGTTTTAAACGTATATTTGGGTTTTTTCTACAGTATAATTATGAGGGGATGTTTGTTGGGTTTTGATGTGATAGTGGCCTGGCATCGTCGGCTTCATTTCAGATCTGCCTGTAAATAGTAATTATGAATCAAAAGTGTCTTTGGAGTCTTCTGGAGATTGGAGGGAATTTTTCTTCCTAGGATAGAGTAGCCTTTGAGAATCTCGGTAGTCAATACCTACTTGGCTCACAGTTTCCAACTTGGCTGCTTGTAATAAATAGAATATGGAAGGAAAATGCAGGGAGCCACATTATAAGTAATTTTTTTTGGAAATTTCAGAAAAGAATAAAACTGTAATTGGAAGAAAAACAATGCTTCGGAGGTATGTGGATGCTCCTATCTATTGGTGGGATTAGTGCATTTCCTTACTGATAAATACGGTAAATTTCTTATATGATCTGGAATCTGCAACTTCTTGATTAAGACATTTTGAGGTGTTGGTTTAACTTGAAAGTGGATGAAGTGAAGGAATCGTAATTCTTGGGGATGTTAATTTATTGAAAGTAGATAATGATTAAACAGCCCTTGGTATTTATTTCCTTTTTTTCCCCTTTCTGTCTCCTTGGTAGAAAACTGAAGTCTAATATCATGAAACAGAGTGTGGAGCAACAGAGGATAAGATGACCTTCCTTAAAGATGGCAAGCCAATCATAGTCTTTCAAGTCAAAGAGTGAAATGAGAATGTTTACAGACATGACTTCCATGTCCAGGGAAAAGTTTAAACTTTAAGTTTTAACCATCAATATTTCAAAGTAGATGAAAAGACGTACTCAGGATTGAGTAGCCCTTCTTTATTAAACCGTGGGGTGGGTTAAAAGAGTTTCCGAGAAGGAATTTTGTCTTTCTTCAAGGGTCGTATCAATTCTGACATGGGGAGTTTGGGGGATTTGATTTATTGCATTTTTTTATTCACAATTTAAAATGACATTTTCAGGTTTCTGGGGTTTGCTTGAAATTTAGGCTGATTTCCTTTGTGGTAAAAACGATCGTTATTTTCATCTCTCATCATTGAAAAAAAACCAATGTGAATAATGTTTTGTGCTGATTATATATTGTTTAATTGTGTTGGTTGTAATTAATGTCTTAAATAAATATTCTAAAGTTAAAAGTATTTAAGACGTGTGGTCATGCAATTTCATCGTTAAATTGATTTCAATTCTATGTGATTCTTACATAATGCTTCTGTTATCCAGGTAACAAGGTTGCTTTCTTTGCTGGTGCAGATTTCACACCTCACGTGATCACTGTTAATATTGGTGAGGTAAAGCCTTGGAATCCCTTGCCAAGGGGCATCTATTCTGCCTATCAGTGAATAGCCTTGGATAAAATAACATGGGTTAGCAGCATGAGTGTTGGGGATAACAGTAGCTATCATGACATAACTGATGAGTTAGCTTTCATGAGTTACTATACTATACTGCATGGGCATGATGATGTTGATCTTTATCACTTCTGGTGAATTTGTTCAATGTGAAATTTTGTATCTGCCTGAATTTTAGTTCGCAATGAAGTTCTTGAAGTTCAAATGACCACTTTTTTCTGACTCGTGGAAACGAACCCGATACCTGCTATTGATATAGTAATATGATTTTATTAGTTGAATTGTGCCAATAATTACCAAGACCTGCAATTCGAGTTTGCTTGTATTTGAAATATGAATTACTGCCAACTGGATTAATAATCCATATCATTCAGATAAACTTGGAAGATTTAAATACAAAAGTTTTCAGTGGTTTTCCATTGCAATGATATTATAACTTCTGTTCATTCTTGATGCGTAGTTGCCACTTGTTCCTGATACCCTTTTCCTTCTGTTTTAGGATGTTAACTTGAAAGTCATGTCATTTTCCCAACAAGGATGTCGTGCTATTTGTATACTCTCTGCTAATGGTATGGTTTCAAATGTTACACTTCGGCAATCAACATCTTCTGGGGGTACTCTAACATATGAGGTAAACCGCCTTCCTTGATATATACACCATCTGAGATCCTCTGTTTTGATGAATTTTGAAGTCTATGGATCCATTACATGCATCTTCTATGTCATGATTGATGAAAGCATGTTACTCTGTTTTCTTCCCAAGACTATTTTTTGTTATCTAATTCAAATATCTGACTGCAGTAAGATCTGATGCTAATTTGGATTAATCTGTTTTCTTTCCCATGTTTCATTTGATGCATCCGAACACCTTAGCATAATATACTCTACTAATGAATTATTGAGAACAACCTAAGAAGTATAAAATAAGGAGTGATGTCCAAAACTCGATGCTCTCCCATGACAAAACCTCACTTGACAATATTCTCGCTCCCCAAACTCTCTTGTCTACCTCAGCATGACCTATAGGTGCTTCCCTTGAATTTTTTCACTCTCTTTTTCCTTGAATACACGAACCTGGTGAATGGCTGATCAATTTGCTGTGCTCTAACGTTTGTATATTCTAGCGTAATTAGAATATCCACACTTATTTGGACGTCTTTTTCTGAAAAGATTTCCTAAGGAGTTGCCTAGAAGAGTAGGTTTCCAAAACCGCAGTTATGTCCCTTCGGGGAGATCTTATAAAATTAGAACAAAAACTGCTTTCACTAATACAATTAAAAAAAAAAAGTTGTTGCTTTCAAAATTTCATGCGTTTAAAATGTACAGTGAATTCAGAAAAATCAGATTTCATAGGCATCAGAACATCCTATCTTAGAGAACACACTTGGTAACAGCTGACTGTTGCTATCTTTCCTGTTGATAGTCTTTCCTCGTTCTATTCTTTAAAATGCATTTTCAAGAAACAGGCCGTCATAGGTGTTCGGATGTTTCATAATTACTTAAGAAATATACTTATAGCTGCTAAGAATGATTTCATTTTTTTATTTCTTTTTTAAAAAAACTAAGCTTGTTTACTCAAAATTTATTTATGTTTGAATTTCACATTTGGTTTCCCATTCCTATCTAAATTTAAAAAATAAAAAAAGGTTTCTGAAAGCTTTTTTTTCCTTCTAATATTTGACCAGAATTTTAATAATGTTTTTAAAAAGTAGGTAACAGAACAATAAAATTGTATGTAAATAAATAAGCTTATTCTCTAAAAACAGACATTAAAAATAGAATAATTATAAAAATTGCCTGAAATGTGATTTTCTGTTTTACAATTTTTTTTTTTTAGAAGAACAACTATCACATATTATTAGACTTTTTAGGGAGCGAAAGAGAGAAAAACTCAAGTAATATGCCCTTAAATTTCTGGTATATATGGGAGCTGCAATTATCATATTTTCATATAGTGTTTTTCTAGTTCAACAACATGTGGGGTTGAGATTTGGTCGATGATACATAGCCGAACCAATTGAGTTGCACTCAAGTTGGCTAGTGTTTTCAATTTCATTATCTCTAGTCAAGCACATGTTTTCTCGAAACAAAATCTATGGTTGACCAAGTTGAATTTTTTTCTTTTATCTTCTGTAACAAGGCCTAAATTTGAAACGATGTGATGCAAGTGGTATTGCGATCCATGATTACACAAATCAATTGTGAACTCTTTGACAGCTGTGGTTGACGTATTTCTTGCTTGCAATTCCCTCCTTCCCATCTCAATGTCACATAGGAGTAAAATGGAAATTTTCATAGTTAGTTTCACATTTTAAGTTAGAATTTCAAATCAAGTTTCGCTTTCTTGACGTCTTTTTTCAGTTAGATAATTTGATATACAGTACCTGAACGTTTATAAATATTCAATACAAGAGAAAATCACTGGCAAAAGTTAATTTTCCTTTATATGAACTTATCTCTGCATCTTACCTTCAACTGTCATGGTAAGCATTATTTATAAAGATACGTCATGAACTGTTCTGATTCTGATTGTTAGGGTCGTTTTGAGATACTTTCATTGTCTGGTTCATACATGCCTTCTGAAAGTGGTGGAACAAAGAGCCGATCTGGAGGGATGAGTGTCTCTTTGGCTGGCCCAGATGGCCGAGTGATGGGTGGAGGACTCGCCGGCATGCTGATAGCAGCTGGTCCAGTGCAGGTATTATTTTCTCCAAACGAGTCGGATTATAAAGGATCAAGTTCAGTGAAATCTTCTTGATCGTATTTACTGTTCAATAGTTTTATGTTAGACAGACCCAATTTCTTATAAATATAATTTTAAACAATGTGAAATATATACACACACGCACACACACGAGTTGTATCAATTTTCACCAACTTTTAATTTAATAAATTTGGGCCCTAAAATTAGCTATCTGCTGCAATTTCTAATAACTAACCTACTGATTCTAATTAAAAAAATATTGTAAAAGACTAAAAAACTCACTAATTTAATGAAAATGAAGTTTTGCACCAAATTAAATTTTATAAATGCACAAAGTTTGACCATTAAATAAGTTTGCTAAACTTACAAATAAAAAAAAAAATCAGCCCTAATGTAATTTTTGTTTGAATCCTATTAATTTCATACCAAATATATGTTTTATATTTTATTGGACCCACGTGAGAATGCTTTTTTCGATGATTCTTCTCACATAAACTTATTAAAAGGTCAAAATTGCAACATTTTTTAAAGCTTAAGATGGAGGTTGCTACACTTATCCTGTTTCGGGTGCAATTTGTGAAATTGAAAGTTTAGTATAAAAATTGATACAGCTTGCTAAGATTAGGGTAAAAATTGATTTTTTAAAATTTTTTTTTACAAAGTGTGAAAATTGATCTTTTTCGATGTATATATTAGCATCCTATAATAAACCATTATGTTTAGATAGCATAGTAGTTTTCTAAGTAGGAAATACAACTTTATATATATATATATATATATATATATATGTATATTGAGTTCAATATTAAAGTATAACTACAAAAATACGAAATAAAACTGAATCATGGTGAAATGAAGTTGGTTATGCTTCTGTTTTGTTCAATAGCTGTATCATGGTAAAATTAAGTAGTATACCTTCCATTGTCGCCAGGTGGTGGTGGGCAGTTTTCTACTACCAGGTCACCAGCAGGAAAATAAACCAAAGAAGAGCAGGACTGAACCTGCAGCTTTATCACCTCCAGCTAATGTCTTTTCTGGCGAAGCGACAAAGGGAGTCTTTGGAGGAGTGAAGCATTCCACTCTAATCGGAGATAAAGCAGCTTCTTTAGACCCAACTCCAGCTTGTAGAACTCCACCGGCCAATGAAAAATTGCCTTACCCAGAAGAATCGAGGGGTGGCTTCAACCAATCAAACCATGAGGTTTCTTGTTGATTATCATCTTCGATTGTGCATTGAATTTTTTCATGCAGATTTGCTGGTGCATTGGCTTTTCCTCAACCTCGAACATCAGCATTTTGAGCTCATTGATTCTTTAAAGGGCTAACTAAGAGATTACAAACAACTGACGTATTTATCGTCATCAGGTAACTTCTCTAGGTAGAAGTCTAAGCCTAATAGATAAGGGCTTGATGATTATTAGGCTTATTCGTTGTCTGTTCTCAGCATTTAGGATCTCGTGTGTTTTATCCCCCTTAACGTTATAGCAGTTTAGATGCAGGAATTGTGTAAATTATTCATGTTTTAGAACTCTCTGTATCTTATTCTGAAATAATAACATTTAAGTTCAAATATCAATGACTATTTTTCAATGTTCTATTCGTGTGCATTTTCATTGATCTGAGGCCTTCGCCTTACTGATTTGATTTTCCATTTATAAGCTGTAGCTCAACATGCATTCAATATAACTTTCTTCAGTGAAATAGTTGGTCATTATTGTAGATTTTAAGGTCATCTTAGGCACTAAGACCTGCAAAAGGATTAGAATCACTGTCCAGACCATTTTTGCTTGGAGCAATGAATTTTATGTTGTTTGGCACCCCAACTAGAAAGTGTGCCGTTTCTCCCAGCCTATTTGAACGCGGTGAAAGTTTCACAAAACAACCATCTTTGTGTAGCAAACTCGACTGGGTGATGATCGACTGTATTCGGGCGACTGTATTTATGTAGCGTAAATATGAAGTGAAATGATGTTTACATTTCACTTCTTTATAACAGAATGAAAGTAGGAGACTTTAGCTTTGATTTGTCTTGTAATGGAATCATAAAGTGCAAAAATATTTCATTTTTATGCATGAATATTTACGTCATTGAATCAAACACTTGGATTTTTATGTCGCTATGTGTATCTTATTCAAAGTTTTGATATTCATACATTGACTAAAAGGCAGAAGTGAAAGAGATTCTTGTTTGGCTAGGGATGTATATGTTAGCGTTACAATATAAAATCAATCAAGCTGATGGAATTATAGAATTCGATCCATTCGGTTTTCTGAAGTTGACATCATTGGTCCCAACTATTCGGGTGATCTCGTCTCGAGGTGCTCTGCCTTTCTTCTTTCCACCCCCTGTTAACCGTTTCAATAAATTCCTCCACTCTTCTCCTAAAATCATCATCTGATTCTGATTCTGATTCATTTTGGGTCACTGGCAGCTCAGCCACATCAATCATGGGATGTTGTTGAAGCATGAGATTTTGACATACAGATTGTTGCATATCTGTGTTGGAGTGAATGACAATAGAAAGGGGCTTAAGGCTAATATCATCATCAAAACTGGAGAAGAAGAGAATGGTGAGAATGATGAAATTGCAGAAGCAGAAGATGAAGAGAGTGCTGGAAGCTGCATCACAAGTAACTTCAAAGATCCAATCACCCATGTCTTTGATGGGAATTGAAGGGTGAAATTTTTTTCTTTTTTTTTCGTGTATTTAAAGGGTTGGGTCTGGCTGTGGTGGAAGTGTAGTGAGGAAGCTTTTTGGGGGAGAAGCAGACAAAGCAAACATTATCACTCACGTGTTTGAGGGTTTTATTTAAATCAAATTCAAACTTAGACCATTTGGATATTATATCCTCTATATGTCTTACCATTATTTAACATCCCAATTTTGCAGATTTCCCTCTTGACTAGGCACCAAAAATCTTAATTTTCTTTTTATTGGTCTAAAAAAAGGCTCTCTCCCTCTTTACCACTACGAGTCTATAAAAAATTTAAGGGAAAAAATACACTTTTGGTGTTTGGTTTGCAGGACATTTTACATTGGGAATTTGGGATTTTTGGTGCTTGGTTTGCAGGACATTTTACATTGGGAATTTGGGATTCTTTATGTTTCAATGGACAAGAATTTCGTTTAACTTTTTATAAATAATTTAGGGTCCCAGAGGGTGGAAGAAGTGATTTTGAAAAAATAGATTTAAGAATAATTAATTTTCTAAAATTACGGTGATACCTTAAATATCAATTTTAAGTGGTTTTATATTTTCTTAAAATCAATTTTTTAATGATAAATGGAAATAGAAGTTATTTTGGCAAGGGCAAAAGTGATTTTGTCATGCCAAAATCACTTCTAAACACACCCTTAATTAAAAAGAGACAAAAATAATAGTTCGAAAAATTGGGGTCGAAAAGGACGGTGTGAATATAGATGATTTGAATGATTGGGTATTTGTAATATTTGTAAAATCGATCGTATACTGGTATTTTTTTCAAAAGAAGAGAAAAGTTCATCGGATAAAATCTTCAACGCATTCATACATGTAAACTATTCAAGTGTACCCTTTGAACAAGATTTTATTTTTGTTACATTACATAATCTAGTTAATGGAGTAAAATCCTATGCTAAATAATTCTTTAACCTATTCAACTATGTTCGGTTGAAATTCAAGTTTCAATCTCTTAAACTAGATTTTCTTGCCTATCCATTCCATTTCCTACCTAGTTTAAAATTGCATCCTACAAACTTTAAGATCATTTAATAATTTGATGAGTAGGTGTAGAGACAAAATGCATGTACTAAAGGACACTAACCCTACACATAAGAATCATGAACTACAAAGTATTCTTTTCTTTTTTTTTTGGATAACTAGGAGTCAAAGTTTGCTCCTAAGGCCCAGATGCAGGAGACATCAAAAAGATTTTTGGTATTAAGCTCATCAAAAAATTTGAACTTAGACCTCTAAACCGGTATGATCAAGAGATCCCAAACTCTTGTCAATCGATATACCCTTTAGAGTATTCACTTATCCTTTGTCCCCATGTAACATCAACTCTATCCTTATTATATAATTCAAAAACCATAATTGCACAATAAAAAATTAACCACCAAAATAAGTCTCTCTTAAGAAAGAAACACGAATTATAAGACTCAACATCTTCTAGGATTACCACAAATGATCACAGCATTACAGAATGAAATTTTTGAAAAGTTAAATTTATAGATCGACCACCATCCCCCACCTGAAAAAAACTGCAGCACTAGTTTACGATCTCTTCCTCTTTTTGTTACTTGACAAGGTTCCTTTGTTGAAGCTCCTAATATCATTTGTTGTCTCGGCTGTGTTCTGCTTTTTCAAACTTTTCCTCCCGCCAAAGCCAAACTTGGAATCTCTGAAGTCTCTCTTCTTCTTTGGATTTTTTCCTTTTCCACCTCCATGTCTTGCCTTCCCTCCGGAGCGGTCACCCGGAGACACCCCCGGCCTCTTCTTACCGGACCTCTCAAATGCTTTTCCATCTTCAAAGGCCAAGTCCATCTCACCACCTTTGTCGCCTCCAGCAAAGCCACTCTTTTGCCTTTGCTTCCTCCATTTCTTGACAGATTCAATCTCTTCTTTCTTCTGCTTAGCCCTCTCCTTTAGCTTCTGGGCTTGAATCTCCTTGGCTAATCTCTTCGCTTCTCTAGCTTTCCTTCTTTCCTCGGCCTCCTCCATCTTTCTCTGCTCGGCCAGCAGCCGACCTTTCACTTTCTCCATGTGAGTATCTGTCTTCACCATCTCTGCATAATAGTCTGAAGGTCTGAGAAATGGGAGTCCTAAAGATTGAAATTTCTCAAAGGCCATCCTTGCCCCCTGCAAAGCCTGTGTATAGAATGCAAGCTCTCTAGCTAGATCATCATTCACATCCACCTCTTTTTCTTGATCAATATCAAGAGAGAGCTTGTGTATCCATCCCGCGTTTTCCGGCCAGCTAATATCTCCAAGCTTATCAAGGAGACCGTCTGCATTATGTATAGCAGTCTTTGATGGTTCAGACAATTTCACATCTTTGTCTTCTTCGGAATCAGATTCAGATTCAAAATCAGAATCCTCGCTATCAAGATCATCATATTCCATTGTATCTTCATTTAAGAAGGGATCATCTTTATCCGATACACCCATTTAAAACCTATCGGAACGATGGCAATTATTAAGGTTACACCTCTAAACTTGCTACATTCTATTCCAAAAATATATTATGTCACCCAGTGAAGAGCAATTATATTAGCAACATTTGCATCATGAATCAGAAGAAATTATTATCATGAACACGAAAGAACCTGACATCGAACTTAAAGGTTATTTTCAGCGTTACTACCACATATTCATCATCTCGAGACTAAAAATTTAGCCATACAAAATGCTCATACAAGCTAACAATGAACAACTGACAAAGTCCTCACCGTATAGTAATACATAAAGATACAAGAAGAATCAGACATCATCGTATAATTAATTAGTAGAAATAAGAGAGAAGAAAGAGCCCGCTTATGCAGAGATAAAACAGAATCTCCACGAATTTACACTAGAAAAAAAGTGGACCAACGAAATAAAAGAACACGCATTCCAGCACAATCGGAGACAGTAAGTGAACTAAAATCGAGACAATTGAACCACCAAAAGCCGAATACGAAACCCAAATCATGATTCTGAAAAACAAAGAAAACCAAAAGAATAACGATGGATAACGAAGAACTAGAAGCTACCGTTTTCGTTCAAAATACTTTCAGAGTCGCTTCCAGCTGACAAACGAAGTGGGGAGTGAATTAAGGCTCCAAACCTTCTGATAAACCCTAAAAACAGGCTGGGGAAAATGCGGTTGTTCGTCGCTGGAGATGGAAATCGCGCCGTCGTGCACCGCCGCTTGCTGAAGGAATTGGGTGCTGCCGGCGGGAAGAGTAAAGACGAGGGGAGGGAGAAGGAGAGAAGAGAAACGCAGAGGACAGAATATTTTCGGCTGAAACGTACAGCGAGGGAGAGAGGGACTAAAAAGAATTTTCGACTTCGTTTTTTCTATTTATTTTCCAGCACCTTTACAATATTTAATTCGATTTAATATTTTATCTTCTCTGTGTCGTTCGGAAAATTATTCTATCCATGTTAAAATTTTGAAAATTCATTATTTTTTTAAAAAAAATAAAATATTTTTATATTTACCCTTAATCACGCTAGGACAAAGTTGCTTCTTATCCGTGGGAGCCAAATATTTTCCTAAATTATTTCTTTTGTTGGAAGACTATGGAAGTGTGATTTGATATTTAAGGAAAAATTACAGAGAGAAGCATAGTAGTTAGAAAGAGACATGAAGTAAAACGATCATGATAACTACAGTGTCAATTGGCAGAGTATAAGATAAATGGAAAAAATGTATGCATATCGGATTGAAAGAGATAGAGAATAATATTGGCGTGGAGTGTAAGTATATATTATCACAAGTAATGAACTCACCATCTATTGTTTGGGAATATATGTCAATTACCGCTGAACTATACTCACTTTGACATCTCAATATACTTTTTTTTTTTTGGGTGAATAGTAACATTTTAATCTAAGTCTCTGTTTTCCTTTTATTAAAACCCTTTTATCAATATAAATAACATCATTGATACTATCAATACTTAACAATTGCATTACCTATCTTTAGTATTGATACAATAATTTCATTATTATTTGTTATTATTGACTTAAGGAATTATTCATTTTCTAGGTATTTGTTGAAGCCCAAATATTTAAAAACCCAGCTGCCATATAGTAGAAGTTTAGGACTTTTGGTTTTAAAGCCCAAACATTTCATTGGTTACTTGCCCAACTCATTTACCACCCATTTGCCTTTATTTTCTAGGGCTCTCTTTCAAAATTCCTGTGTTTTTAAAATTTCTAGCATTAGATCAAATGTATTATAATTAGTAATATAAAAAAAAAAGAGCATTGTTCAATTTTAGCTGGATTAGAAATTCCAACACAGAAAAAAAAAAGATTGTAATGTAGTTTATAAGTCATTTTTTTTATTTCTTTCTTTTAGTACAATATGTGAGAGTGATGATTCGAATTTACGACATTTTAGTCAAAAGTAAGGCACTTATTGAATTATATTCCAATTGACGCTCGGTGCAACTAAAAGTTAAAAAGTGAAACCTGCACACGAATTTGTTTATCATAATTATGAACTTATCTAACAATCTAGCTATATAAACTTACTCAAGGTCATGAAACTCACATTTTATATTATACGCCTTATTTTTTAAATCATGAATTAAAATTTCTGCAACTTTTATTTTCTTTATAATCTAAACACAGACTACCCAAAGTCAAATTTCCAACTCTAAACTTAAAAACCCTTAATTTATTAAATTGTGAATCAAAAAATATCAGTACGGGCTCATCTTTGTATTAATCCCACTCATAAAAATTTGTACATTTATTTTTATCTTCTTTTTTTTTGGCCATGCTCCACCTCTGTTTCCCTTCATAGCTTGACATTTTATAGGTGGGTGAGAGAAGGCCAGAAGATGTAATTAATATTCAATTAATAAAATCAGTAATTATTTCATAATACTAAAATGGTTTTCTTTATAAATAGAAAGAGATATTTATGTGTGTGGCAATAGAAGTAATAATCAAGTGTAATGACCTACCAAATGGACATTTTGGTACAGAGCATTAAGTTGATGTCTTGATTTGAGTTTTTTTTTTTATATTAAAATTCCAACTCCAATTGGCATTCATTGAAGAAAAAGAAAAAACAAAGAAAAAAAGAAAACAGTTTCATCCACAAAACCATATTTTTCTTACCATATCTACTTTTTAATTATAAATAAAATAAATAAAAAAAGGCAAAATTGCATTTTTATTTTTTAGAGTTTTAAAAGTTTTATTATTGTCCCTTATCTTTTAATTAAAATTTTCTAAACATCTCCACCGCCGGTAAGAATAAACAAAAATTCAACATAATATTCTACTAAAAAAAATACAAGGTAATTAATTATTTATGGCTATACTCTAAAAGGAGTTAAAAAAAAAACAATTAGCATTATCGATTACAATGTGACTTTTTTTAGAACATGTAGGAATATGGATCAAATTCATAACCTTTCAATTAGAGATATATGTCAATTATTGCTGAATTATGTTTCCGACAAAGATATATAGTAATAATTGACTTGTTAAACTCCAAGTAAAATGAAGAGTACGGACCCTTCGGTGAAAAAAAAAATTTGACAATATCAGTAATATTTGAAGTTGTATTTTCTTTTTTAACAAGATACAATCAAATACTTGTAATTATTTGTTTAGGATATATTGCACATTACATTTCTTAAATAGTAAGCACTAAAATGTGATAGCAAATATCTCAACTTTGAATTTAACTTCAATCGTCATAAATTTCTACCCCTATCTCGTAGAATACTAACAATGTAGATCAGGCGATTGTTGAAGAATATTGTCGAGATGTATAGTAACATTCTTGATCTTGCTACATTTGGTTACTGAAGAAACTTGTTGGATATTAAATCCATGTATTTAGCAACCATACTTTCCATCTAAGCCATTCAGTGTCTATACATAAATATTACCATTTTAATCTATTCATCAATATCATTACTCCAATAATTTCAACATGTTTTGTCAAAGAAAGAACCAAAATTTCAAATCTGCCCAAACCAAGATAAAATGATTAGACATACAACGGTAAGTTTAGTCCACTACATTTCACATCTAGAATTAAAATGGTATTAGGTTTGATAATTGTTCTTAAAGAAAAATAAAAATAAAAAGATTAATTGGGGTTTTAATAGGTGGTATTTTGAAATCTCAATCTCAATCTCAATCTCCACCTAGCTTTTTTTGGAGTGAAGCATTACTCTCCTATACTCGAGCACCCACGTCCTCCTTGAGGTCCAAACTCAGGAGACATCAATGATTTTTAGTATATGCTCACCGAAAAATTCGAACTTGAGACTTCTAAGTTAATAGGATCAAAAGACCTCAAACTCTTGCCAACCAAATTGTCTCTTAGCCTCCACCAAACTTTTTAAATACACTTCCTTTTATTTTATTTTATTTTTCCCTCTTGGGATGGGGGCCACAGAACCAATTAAATGAAGGTTTGGTGGGAAGGGGTATGATGGGAAAATGCATAGTGACATTCCTTTGTAGCAAAGTTCATAGGGAAAGGGCCAAAAGAGCATACCAAAAAAGTGGATTAGCATGTGAAATAAACAGTAAAATGTCATTCAAACAAAAAGAAAAAGGGATGACATTAATGTATAATGCAAAGTATTTTCTTTTTTTCTTACCTAAAATCATTGAGATAATCTCAAAACTGTTGCCCTTTTAGGTGAGATTTCATTGCACTAATTGAAGCAAATCCCATTTCTTTCCACCAATCACCAATCACCAATCACCAATCACCACCCATATTTCACTGCAACAGATGGCAAAATAGACATGAAAATCACAGATTCAAATTTATATGTAGAATCAACTTGAGTAATCTGACCATACATCAATGATTTTTGGCAGAAAAAGTATCTAAAAAATTTGTTTATTTGGTGGCTAACTGGAGACAGCAGCCTAAGATTGAAGAAAGTTGAGTAAGCAATGAAGGCCCTTATTCAAGAAAGTTTGCTAGCAATTTTTTATTTTTTCAAAGTAATCAGGACAACTCCCTGACATTTATGACATTTATTACATTCGGTTGATAAGAAAATTCTAAGGTTTTTTAAATTATAAGATGATGGCTACCATAGTCTAAACCCATTCATTCCAAACCATTTACTTTTTACTAGCCTCGATGGCCAATAGCCAAACTCTTTTTCAAGAAAGTTTGCTAGCAAGTATCCAAACTTTAACCCCTAGTTTTACAGGCAGAGCTAGAAACAAAGGAGGGGAGACAACCATCCCCTTAATTTGTCTTAGATATACAAAAAAGAAAAATGTAAAATGTAAAATTTTACCCCGCCCTAAGAAAGTTTCCAACCCTGCCCCTTGTCCCTTGTCCTGTTAAGCCATATAACTTTTTTTTCTTCTCTGTGGGGGTGGGGAGTTGGTAAAGTCACTCAACCTGTAAGGTAATTTCCTACCTATTTCTTCTACTCACAACTTTCAAACAACAATTGGTTCGCAAAGCGACTTAGAAGAATCAATGCTAAATTTCTCCTTGAAAATAAAAAAAAAAAAGTTATTTACAAACTATGCGATAGAAGAATAAAGTAAAGAAAAAGTCAGAAAGCAATGAATTCTATTTCCATCCGTTGGTTTCAACATCATCTTCATAGCACGAAAAAATGGATATGGATATGGGTATCAATTTCAAAAGCAATCAAACTTGAAAAAAGAAATTGGAAACACAAACAGTTGAACAATTCAAATGGTGAAGATTCTGTGTCCTATACAAATAATTATATCTACTTTCCCTTTAACAATAACAATGAGTGGAATGACATATTAATAAGCATACTAAAAAGTGAATAAGAAAAAGTATAATGATAATAATAAAAGCTTTTCTTCTCTAGTTGGTGAGAAGTCACCATTGTCTGACATTGCCGACAAAATCCACATACATTCCACCATTATTGAATCCCAAAGCCAAATCAGAGTAAATTTAAGACCTACAGATTCAAAATAATCGAAAGCAACCTAGCATTAAATATCATTTTTCACACCCAATCTGTTCATTGGTAAGTCAATTGATAGTGGCTGTGCAGTGAGGTAAATCCTGAAACCCACAATTAAGAGAAAAGAGAAAGTGAATGTGGGTCAAACAACTTTATTGATATCCCTAGAAATGAGGGCAGCCACGAGTTTTTTTTTGTTTATTCTTTAATGGAATAAGACCTACTGGGACAGTTTTTCTTTCATAGGTAAATCCTCAGGAAAATTTATTACAGTTAAGAGCATTGGCAATCTAATAATATATCATATCCACAAATATGCAAACAAACATCATCAACTATTTTACCTTGCCTCAACTAATTTTTTCTCTCATTACTGCCCCCCCCACAATAAATCTTGAACCATTAGATGGTCCACAGTGGGAGTACAAAAACCTTTGGAATCTTGAAATTTCAGTTAAATACTGAGAGTTTCGTGGTTAATCCAACATAAGATTCAAATTTTTATACAGTTCAAATTTATTTTTAACCTTTTGTTATTAAATTCATAAGCCTAAAAAGACTTGTCAATTTCATGAAGTTCATTCTACAAAAAGTTAGTAAACAATGACTTTCAAAAGAAGTTTTGGTTATATATGAAAATGCTTTTACTATTTTTTTTTAAATCTTCCAATCTTTTTTAATGTACTCAAGCCCGTTTAGTCCCTATACTCTAAAAAATGTAATAATTTGAATTAATTAAAAGTATGATGAGAAAATAAACGATCCATCCATAAAAGATGGAAAAATAAATGAAACCTACGGACCTCAGGTGACTCAATTATTTACCCATTCATATGCTTCAATTACAACAAATTTTTTAATGCCATTAATTGAATGCACCTATTTCAATAAAGGACTCCACTCCACCTAAATGGTTATTTTCTAGCAATGAAGAGATATTAAGAGGATGCTCATTCCCACACACTATTAAGAGAAAGGTAGGTCCAGATAAACAACTAAAAAGTTTAGCTTTTATTCTTACCATCATAAAAGATACTTGGAACATTTAGCATACTGACTAGTGGTTCCTTTGAGATCTAGAAGTAGAACCTCCTCCATTCTCCTAGATCAATTTCAACCTGAAACATAGAAGAATATTGTCAGATAAGAAATACAATGAAGTACTTTACACAAAAGAAATCCAAGAATAAACGGTAAATTCTCCACTGAAAAGCCAGCAGAAGCCTAGGAAAAGTAGAATGATGTGAGAAAATTTGTAGAAAGATGACAATACGATCCATAAATATATCAATAGTATGGCCTTCATCAATAATAAAAGTTTCGTTCCCTTATATATATCAGTAGTAAAGTTTTATAAAAATGTTGACAGGTAAATGGTAATCTGATGTTAGTATCCTAATTTGACTATTATATTCTCTATTATATTATTAAGCCGTACAATTTTAAAAAATAGACCTTCTATAATAAAAATAAGTATTGGGTATTTAAATGGGTATACACAGATAATTATTTTTTCAACTAACATCCTTGTCAAACAATAAAATGATTGATATAACCAAAAAGATATTTAATGAATATTTACTTTCTTGGTAGGAGCCGATAGGTTGAAAAGAATAGTAGAAGAAATAATAAATAAATCATGTCGCCTCAAAAGCACTACCAACCTGCTTTGTGTTGTCAAAGTTGTTTTCTGAACCATACATGCAACATCAATTCAAGTTCGTTGCTACATCCCTTTCGGCCTTGTTATGTGCATACTCATGCCGACAGCCCTCTTTGCTTGCCCTTTGCTCAAGACTTTTTTAGCAATCATGCCAAGGCTAACCAATAACTCTGCAAAACTTCAAAGTTCAACTTTCAGGAGGAAAATTCACACAAGGGCCCATTTTAAGAAGTAAAAATGTCATAAGAACAGGAATATTTCAATGACAAGCTACTAAGAAATGGTGACAGAAGCCAAGAGAACAAATGAATAAAGAAAATTAAATGCATTCTCAAAGGCTCGTGCACGAAGGCTTGTGTGCACCCCTGCCCCCCTCCCCCCACCACCACACGCACAAACATAGAGAGAGAGAGATAGAGAGAGAGAGAGAGAGGATATGTCACCTTGTAAGTGTCTTTTCTTGAGTATGACATCTACAACAGCATTGAGATAGATATCCACTCCTCACAGTGGGGCTCAGAAAGTAACATAAGTAGGCACAACAGGAGATATATCTGGGATTTCAGCGAAGTGCATCTTCAGCTGCAAAGATATGGTACCTAGTCCGAGGTTGACTTCAAGCAACTCAGGTTTGGTTTTGATCAAACACATTCAGCACTGTACTGCATCAAAAAAAAGTTGCAAAAATTTCAAACCAACGTTACTTCTGAGAGTTGTTCAATTAACCATAAAAGCCACACCTCCTAATTAACCATTTGGGCTCCCTAATCGCATAAAAATACCATGCTATGACAGTCAAGATTTAAAATTTTAATCTTCTTCCACTTTGATGCTTTGATAAATAACATGAAAACAGATCTATGGCACAAAAAGATAATTTATTTTCTTGTTTTCCTTTAAGAAAAATAATTGCCCCAGATATTGTAGGGGGCTTGACTTAAAATAATAACAATTTTTTAAGGCGAAATATCATTTGCGCCTATGTATTTTTCCGTTTATTTTTCTTTTTCTGATCTCCAGTGTTTCAAAGCTCAATTTCAGTCCTTTACTTTAGATAAACAGCACCTTTTGTCCCTTGTTAAACAAAACAAAGGTTGAACACCAACTCTGAACAGTATGGACTAAAAATGCAGTTTATTCACTTGCAGGAAGAGGAACTAAAATTGAAAATTTGAGAATATGGGGAACAAAATGTAACGTGACAAAGTATTGATACTATAATAGTGTTTTAACATAATAAGTACATAAGAATGGCTTTTTATGAAGATTCTAACAAAGTAGCAATCCCTAACTATCAGGGTAAGCAGTAAGAAATTTGAAATTATAAATGTTAAATATATAGGAGGTTCATAACCTTAACATGAGGTCGTGTTATGCAAGATATAATCAATGTGATGGTATGATGAAAATCTAGTGATTGGACTCTAGGACTCTGCAACATCACTTAGTTACTACAGGAGGAAGTTTTGTTTGAATACAAAAATATAATAACCTTCATTGCTCTTTACTTCACTATATTGTAATTGTACAATGTGTCACACTTTGTACAGTGGCAGGTCAGTTGGATATTCATTTTAATGCCTTCATCATTGAGAATACCAATATGTTTAGCTAGCTTAGCTATGTCAAAGAGAACTTCAAAATTAGCTACCTCTAATAGAACATAAGTCCCTCATAAGGAAAACTTGATATTTTATCTCAAGCAATCTCTTTAAAGGTATAGTTTTTTTTCCTTTTTTTTTCCCAATAAATTCAAATAACTAAGATTCAACTTTACGGGAACTTAAGTGGTTCAATTTGAATGGAAAAAACAAGATTTTGGGAACCAGGAAAGATTGCATCATGAAGTTCATTCTGGTATCCAGTCAAGGAATAACGCATTCTTGATTCATACACAGACAAGGAAATGTATATCAGAACATCCTTAAAGAGGCTCCAAATTATAAGTCAGTGTCATTGTCTTTTTGACATATTTATTTTTTTTCAGAATGAAAACTGATTCCTTGTGAAAAAAAAAAGTTCGATAAGTTATCAGCCCTTCCAGTCCAATGTTTATCCCGAAAAACATTACAAGAGTGTTCATACACAATTCCTGACTAGTTTTACCTTTGTTATGCCCTCTGTTCTGCAAGTCTAGGAATTCGTAACCATTTTCGAAGCAGGAAAAAGAGGGGGGAAAAACAAAGAAAAAGAAGAAAAGATTGAGGACTCCGTTAGAATCATTGCAGCTGAATAGATTCTACCAGTACACGGCTCAACCAAATTCTACATAGACGACACAAAATTTGTAGTAAAAAGATGAAAAGAAAAAAGAAAAAAAAAGAATTAAAACAACAAAAGAATTTAATATACCCTATTTTCATAATTCTACAGAAGTTCAAAAGAAAACATTACATTGAGGGTGCATCAGAAAAGACCTCATTGAGCATGTCATTTTCACCATCTGTCATTGCAAATAGTTCTGCATCTCTGTCTTCCTCGTTAGAGAAGTCTCTCCTTTCAAGTTTGGCATGAGCTGCAACAAACACCATCTTCTGAGCTCTCTCCAAGCCGACCCTCGAGTGGCGATGTGAGCAAACCAAATTCATGACAGAACATTTACACTTGTAGCCACAAGATGTTGAATGAAGGAAAATAAGCCGGAGTGCCACCTTACCAAGGGTCTTGAACTCGCTTAGGCAAGTTTCCCAGACAAGTCGCCTACTCTGTGGGTTGACAATTTTCATCTTTCCAGTTAAAGGGTCTCGTTGTTTAACCTGAACTGCCTGAGCATAAAGTGGGTCTAGCCCTTCAGATCTCCATTTCGCAAGCTCCACGAATGCGACATGGGCTTCTTCCCTGGACACCAACCGATTAATGAGTGAATCCACATCCTTTTCCTGCTCCTGCGAAAGGCACTTGAAGGGTGGAAGATATTTCCCATTTATGTCCCTCCTCAAGTAAAGCGGGTCCAGTATAAACGCAGCTGACCAGGCTGGGTGATAATTTTTTCTAAACCGCTTTTCTAGAATTTTCTCCACTGGCCCTTCAGCAATGCTGAACTTACCACACCATTCCTTCACTTTTGTTCTCAGCTCCTCCCAGAGAGGCAAGCATTGCCCAATCAGCGGCCTTTCCACTTCAATCTCTTGAGCCATCCCTCGGATCATCTTTACAAGTGAGTGAGCTGCCTCCATTTCATCCCAAAAGCGTTCATTTTGTATCAGACTAGAAATCTCAGAGGCTAGTGGATCCTCCATGCATCCCAGCTTATAGGACTCGTCTAACACAACCATTTGAAGCACATGAGCACAGTTAAGCATATCATCAAGCATAGAATAAACAGGTGAGAAGTTTTTGGATGTATCACAGTTTGGCGAAGGAACATGAAGCAACCAGTGACCCTCTAGCTCCTGCACCTTGTACTTGTTTAAACAATTCCTAATTTGAGATTTGGTATTTACAAAGTTTGCAACCTTCAAGCAATTTTCAGTGACTATCCTGAAAAGTGGAAGCTCTTTGTTAAAATCCTTTATCAAACTAAGAATACCCTGAAGCTGGCAAGAGAGATTTACCATCCAATGATTCTTTATCTCCAAATTCCTCAACGCCTTGGCCTTGTACCTATCTGCAATTATCCCCACACATCTCTGCAGACCACTCCCACAAATTTCATTGACCGTATCCAATATAACTTCCTCCGCATACTTGGATGACATCAATCCCCCTGTAAATAGTGCTTTTTGGAACACGGTAGTACCATTTGGAAGATTGACCATAAATTTAACTATACTCTCTTCGCCACAATAGTAACCACAGCAGTTCTTATTCTTCCACCCATCTGAAGCAATTTGAAAAAACATTGCATCTCTAATCCTGGCGTCTGAATCTGCTTTCGCCTCCTCAAACTTGGTGTCCAGTCGAGCTCCTAAAATGTCAGTCCGTGGTAATGAAGGCAGACCCAACTGATTAAGCATGGCTTTAAACTTGGGATGCTCAAGGCAGGAAAGCGACACTGACCCACATGACTCGATAAACCAATCGGTTAGTAACTCGATTGCAGAATCTATTTGTTCCTTACTCAGCCTTGGTCCAGGTGAGGCATGTGGACTCTTGAGTTTCTTGACACTATTTTCCAGCATTTCTAGTGCACCCAAATCATCTTTCCCTCCCGATAACACCAACTGGTGCTGATTCAAGCCTGCCTTACCCGCCATCCCAAGCGGATTTTGAGCCACTGGCGAGGAAATCAGCGGAGCATAGGATCGCGTCGGCTCGATCATGGCTAGAGAGTGAACTTGATAGGAAGCAGTGAGAACGGGAGCACTCATTTTCATTTGAGAGCTTCGCTTCTTGTGGTTGTGCAATGTGGGAGAAGGGATCGACGATATAGGCAACGGCGAGGGCGAGGCGTTAGACCTAGAAATGGAGCTCAAATTGGGACAAGTGCCTCGTTTCAGATGCTCAGATGCAGTCCGCGAAGGGTTCGAAGCCGAGAAAACGGCATCGCACAGCGAACACTTGAGCTTCACCGCCTTCGGAAGGCTAGTGCTGGGATTTCGTATCAGAACAGGCTCCAAATGAGCCCAATACCAAGCTCCTTTCCCCTTTATGGCCTTTGTTCGAACAGTCACAAGGCACTCATACCGTTTATTCAAAGCCTTCGCCGCCAAATCTTCCGTCAACGCAGAAGGTTCAATGTTAGGCGGTGAATTCGTGGAAGCCATTCCAGCAACAGAACTCAAATTGCTGTCACAACAACGAGTATCTAGAAAGCCCACTTCTGGAAATCCGTTCAGCTAATCGCGCCATGTTACTCGAGTACCATGAAGATAAATCTCGCCGGCGACGGTGCAAATGGAGAAAAATCTCACCGGCGGCGAGAGTGGGGAGTTGCAGAGAGATGAGAATTGTTCGTGTGGTTTTTATGGAAAAAGAGAGAGCGGTGGTTGAAGAGGGTAATGAAAATGATCAGTAACAGTTGACTGACAGAAGCGGAAATGGAGGGATTGAACAAAAAAGCGAAAAGTGATTTGCAGAGAGAGAGAAAGAATGAAGATGAAGAAGACGATGACGATGACGTATAAAAAGATATTTGGGAGATTTATAGAACGAGTGAGTGAGTATAAATAAATTTAAAAAGAAAAAAAAACTATTTTTGTGAAATTACATTTTTGTCCTTTTAATTTCCACCTAGTACCTGTTTAGTTTTTAAAGTTTTTAAATGTTTTAGTTCTGATTTGTTGAGATAATTTTGTAAGGAATGAAAAAATTTTCGTGCCTTGATAATAGTTCAGATGAGATAATGGTCGTGCGTTATCTTTTACTGATTTTTTCATGTTATTCACCAATATTCTTGTTTCGAATTATGTAAACAGAACTATCAACATTTATTCAATGTTATTGGATCGGTGTATTTTCAGTCTTATATGTCTATTAAATTTTAGGATGTATTCTTAATGCTTTATATTTAATCTATCGAACTCCATCATCCATTTTAGATTGACAAATATATTTTCTCTCGTTTATATAGGGATTGATTATACAATTTTAAACACATTTGAATGCTTATTTTATTAGGATTAGTTACTTAGTTAGTTGAAGCTTGTAACTAAACACTTACTTTGGTATTATTGTATTCCGTATGGCCTATGACCTTCTTATTATTGATGAATGTTTTTAGAACAGTTTTTTTGGTTACAAAATCCTTGTTTTGAAAACCATATTCTTTCACTCTAGAGAAAACATTCCATATTTTCAACGCTATGTGATTAATTATTAATTTGTAAGAATGGATTAGATCAAATATATGGTTTTTTTTCCGATCTCAAAGAAGATAATATGTGCTTTTATCCATTAAACTATGCTTGGATTGAAAATAATAGTTTTGAAGTGATTAGGTATTGGTGTCTTTTCACGAGTGATTTATCTCTTTAATTAAAATAATGTAATATTATTAAATATATATATATATATATATATATATATATATATAAATAAAAGCAAGTCATGAGATTCACTTATTTTTTGTATTTTCTTTTTGTGTATATTTATATAAAAATTCTTAATTTGAATTACCATTTTTATGTTATATTTTAAAGAATGTCAACTTTTTATCAGTATTTGCAAAAAGTACATTTTTCAGAATTATGTGATGCGAATTAGTGATTTATTATTTAAAGTCAATCCACATTGTAAGTTAATTATTTGAAATAGTAAAAATACAATTAAAGAATTATAATAATTGTTGATAATAGTTAAATTTAGTTTGTCAATAATTTATCATTCATTATATTCTATGTCGATATAAATGCTTTATTTTTCCCCCTAGTTTTCATTTTCAAGGAATGTTTTCATGAAACAATTATATTAAAATTTAACTCAATTCTATTGTGATTTATCTTTCAATGTGTTTTATTATCATTTATTCTTTCTAATATTTCAATAGTGAATAAAACTAAGCTAAACTCCAAATTATATTGGTTAAAAAATTCTTATTAACCAGTTGAGGTGCCATATTTTTGTTCTTTTGATCATATGTTCACAATCTATCTAAATTAATTTGAACTGATTTAATAATTTAATAATTTTATAATAGTTTTCTTTTTACTGTATTTTTACAGAAAACGCATTCTTAGAAGAATTAAATTATTTTTTCTTCTAAAATCACAAGATTCTAAATTTTTTTATAGTACAAATAAATATGTGGAGATGAGAATTCGAACTTTGATATTTTCGTTGAGAATACGTGGTTAAATAGTGATTCCAATATACATAATGACATTAACGATGACATATTTTGAGGAAAAAAAACACGTGTCTAAGTTTTGATATTATATATATGAGTAATCTTTTGCCTAATTGATGAGGGACATAATGAATGTAACTAATCCTTTTCAAAGGAATAGCTTTTCTACTTTTACTATTATTAATGGTGATAGCTAAATTATGATTTAAGAATTTGATTATTTTATTTCGTTTTTTAAAAAGTAATGATTAAGAATTTGGTGGAGTAGTTATTATTAATATAATTCATAACTATTTTATGATTAATTACCTTAGTTAATTGAGTAAAAGGAAGAACACTATTTTTTTTCAAATGATTGTGAATCTGAAAATGAAATCACTTTTAAAGCTCTGATAGGACCTAAAGATAATGGAGCCTTGGTGAATAATTATTATGCTCTAAGGCTCTGTTAGGCAACTGATTTTTTTTCCATGAATTTGAAATAATCATGTAATTAGGGTTATAGAAATCATAACAGATTGTGGGTTGGAAGTTTAAATTCTTATACTCTCATATTTATTATATTAAAAAAAATAGTTTATAAAAAAAAAAGAATTTGAACTAACATAAATGTAGTGCGTATGGCTCTTAGAATTTGTCAACAAATTGAGAGAATATTAGTTTTAATAATATTTTTGTACTACTTATTTCTCGAATGGTTAGATCAATCAAAACATCGTCAACATGAGCTCAGTTCAGCGATAATTGAACACCTGTTTTTGACTAGGAGGTTACGAGTTTAATCCTCCACCCCGTTCATTTGTACTACATCTAAATAGGATAACTCTAAAATTCTTACATAAATATTATTAATAACTCCTCAAAAGCTATGGTAACAAAATCCACTTTTTCCAGGGAAAAAGGCAATCAATTTCATTCCTAAATCTACAAAAATCTTTTTTTTTTTTAAATCCAATTGATCAAATGATATAAATTTGAAGAAGTTTGAGAGAATGATGATGGAAAAAAAAAAGAAAAAAAAAGGAGAGAATGAGGAGGAAACTATTATAGAGATCCTCAGGAAAAAAAAAGTTATTATAGAGATCCCAAATGGAAATGGAGGATGTGAGAGGAAGAATGATAAAGAAAAGTGAGATATATGAGTGAAGGATTTGAGGCATGCAAATGATGGGAAGAGGAAAATGGACTTTTTTTTTTTTTTGGAATATTTCCTTTTTTTTTCTTGTTTCTTTTTTTTTAATAAATAGAAACATATCATGGTTGTTAATTATTTATTGTTTCTCATTTTATAATGGAAGAAATATAGATATGTGATAATTTCTAAAATTTTAAATTAAAAATGTAAAATTTTTACATGAAAAATTAATATTTTATCTTATATATTTCTTATGCATTTTATAAGTCAATATTTGATAAAATAATGTCTTTATTTATGTTTAAAAAAAAACTAAAAACGAGAACCATAAATAATAAACATGATTTCATTGTTTTCAAAATTTCAACATAATTTTTAAAATATTTCTTAAAAAAATAAAAGACTAGAGATCGAAGTAGTTACGAGGCTTATATACTTAAAAAAAATAATAATAAGAGAAGAGTTTTTTTTCCCTCTTCCTATAATTTTTAAATTTTTAAATAATAGTAATTATGAAAAACATGTGGGGATGGGATGGGATGCGAGGGAGTGTGACAAAAAAGTCAAAAAAGGTGTGTTTGGTTTTGGGTGAAGGTTTTTCAATTTCACCTAAAGCATATCATCTTGTCTCACCTTTAGACTTTAATACATCTTGTAAGGTATTGGGTCTTTCTCACCTCAATAAACAATTTTATTTCTTTTCGTACCCGTCTATCTCAACAAATTAAATTAGCTGTCTCTGACTATAAAATTGTGAATTCGAATCCTTTCAGAAAAAATAAAAGAAAATCTATTTCTTTTTATTCATTTACCACTTTCCTAACTTAATTTCAAATTTCGTTTTTCTTCCAAGAAAATTATATGGGTTAGAGTTATAAATTTGATCTTAGACTTTAATCCTAGTTTCAATTTGGTTGGTGTGTATTGGGGAGTTTTACTAATCATTTTTGTGTTTTAGATTAATGTTTACCAAATTTTATTATCGTCGGTAGGAAGGAACAAAAATTTAACAGGGTCTGTTACGTATGAAGGTGACAAATGAATCATTCATTATCTATTTGTATGTGACATTTTATTTTAATGAGGTGGGGTTTGATGAGTCAAGTTAATTTAAGAAAATTAAGGGGGAAAATCAAATTTTATTCTAAACTTCCCATTTCATTAAATTACATCTTAAAATTAAACGATAATTATTGCAATACTAATTGCCTTAAAAGTTTTAAACTAAAAAAAAGTTTTGTAATTTTTTCTATTTAATAAATTATTTTCATTTCAGAATCATTTAAAAAACTTATCTCTGTGTGATTCAAATGAATTGTGTTAGGAAAGTGATAGGTTTTCACATAAAATAATATTAAAGATTTTTATTAATTAGTGAGTTTTCTTAAAACTATTCAATGACATTGACCGTGCTTAATTTTGTGTCAAACTTGATTTCGTTGAAATCTGTGAATTTTTTTTTATAAGATTTTACATAGTTTAAAATTGATTTTTGGTTACCTAAAAAATCTATTTCTTGATTCGCCTTTATTTTGATTGAAAAATAGAAAAAGAAAATTAAGTTCCATCTTAAAGACTTAAACTGCAGCTAACATTGTGAACTGAAATTTTATCACCATAACTCATTTTAGAGCTTTTGCAACAAATTTTAGACCAATTTTAATTTATTACAGAATTTGACTATTAGTAGAGCATATAATCAAACATGAACTTAGTTTGACGGTAATTGATACATGTCTCTAACCATAAGATCAGGAATTCGAAAAAGAACGAGATAATATATTTTCCAAATTTTTGTAGGGTTGTAGATAAATGTATATCTTTTCAAAGATTTTTCATAATCTTTGATAAAAAGTGAATAATTTTTAAAAACTTTTGTAAATACCTTCACTAAAAAGAGATATATTTTTCAAGAGACAGTAAATATTTGTTAATAAATATATTATATTTAAAAGGTTTTCAATAACCTTTGTTAATAAAAGTGTATCATTCTTCAAACGTTTTTATTACTTTTTGAAAAAAAGACATAATTTTTAAAATGTTTTTAAACATCAATAAAAATACTATATTATATTTTTCAGGTTTGTTGATAAATGTATTGATTTTAAAAAATTTTTAATAAGAGGAAAATAACTCAATTATTGTAGTGTACATGAGGAGAAAGATCTCGAATCTTTGCTAGTCATATATGCCCTGCCTATATATTGTCATCAAATT